CTATATCACATTTTTTACGGTGAATACTACCAAGATGAACCCCGCCAACGAGAATTTGACCGAGATGCACGCATCCAAGGACGTGCCAATGACGGATGCATCGGATGCATCCACCGATCAGGGTTCCCCTATGGCCCAGTCAACTTGGGCATCCAAGCATGTTTCTCCGACTGCCGCGCTCAAACGCCGTCTAGAGGATTGCCAAAAGGAACTGGAGGAGTTACTTATTCAGTTGGGTACTCAGCAACATCCTGCAGACAAAGCAGGCGCTGTTAGAGACGAGGCCCACAAACTCTTGGCAGAGAGAGACTCTCTCCGTCAACTCCTGGCCGGTTATGACGTTCCGGATATAAGGAATCCGCTCCAGTCCTCTGCTTGGGAGAGTAAGATTGGGGATTCTTATCCTATGAAGGGTATCAAGGGCCCTAAAATTACTGCTAGGGACATTCCTTTGTTCCAATGGCGTGGTTGTCCCTGGACCTTGAATAAGAACAGAGATGTTTTCACTTCGGTGGAGCACTTCTGTGCCAATTTCCGTCGCCTGTTGGTTCAAGCCAATTATGAGCTTGACCAGCATTGGGAAGAATGGTTTATGTTTGCGCTTCCGGACCAAGCAGATGATTGGTTCAACGCAAATGTGGCGAACCGTGGTTTGGGATGGGAACAGGCATGCGTTCTCTTTAAAGAACGTTATGAAAATCCCGACCATTATAACAAAGCGGTCAAGAAAATTGCCATTATGAAAATGAATGGGAGCGAATCCCTTACTCGTTTTGGTGAGCGCTTTTTGCGCGCTTTGAAAGAGTGCAAACTCATTGACGGTCCTCTGGCTGCTGGTGTTTTCCAGATAAACATGACCGCATATATGGAGAATCAAGTGCTCAACACTTGGACCCAACGTAACGGCTCCAAGCCTATCTCTTCTGTGGAGGCCTTGCTCCAAATTGCTCCGTTCATTGTCGACAAGAGAGTAACGGAGGGTGATAGTCACCATGGTGACTACAAACACAAGGCGGGTAAGCGTTACCACCGATCTGTGTCTCCCATTTTACGCAAGCGGCCCTTTAAGGGTGAGAACGTGAAGAAGGAGAAGGTCGAAAACAGCCGACCGAATTTGCCACAGACTTGCCTGTATTGCAAGAAAGCCTGGTTTCAAGGCCACCGTTGCGAGGCTTACCAGGAGGCGCACAAGATTAAGCGCCAAGAAAAACGTCTCCGTCGTTTGCGCCTGGATGAAAAATCCGGCAAAGCCAAAGTTGGTGCTAAGCAAGCACTACGTAAGCAGATGCAGGACGACCACCCTGCCAAGGAGGTTATTGATACCATCCTGACCGAGCTTGAAGAAGAAGAGCTCAGCCGAACTGCACAACGTAAGTCTCTTAAGCTATACAGTATCCGCAACGAACAAAATTCAAGTATGCTAAAGACACCTATCATGATTCAGAATGAACGAATCTTGGGTCTCGTGGACACCGGTGCAGAAATGTCCATCGTCAGCAAAAACTTGTGTTCGTTAAATAAATGGCCAATCTTTAATGCCAAAGGATCTATCTTGTATGCTAGTAGAGGAGACACAGTGAAGCGCATTGGAACTACTGCTCCACTGGATATTATTTACAATGGTCGTAACATCCGTCATAGCTTTGAAGTTATGGAGTTAGCAGATGAATGTGAATTAATTCTGGGTATTGATTTATTGCCGCAACTTGGAATTGCTCTCACTGGCGTCGCGACTGATTGGGATACATCAGAAACCCATCAGGCCAAAGAGGAGATGGCAATCGTGCCAAAAGCCGAAACATATCAACCCAATGAATCACCAGCAGGTACAGAAACAGAACATGTTCACTTCATGCGATCTGTTCAGCCGTTTATTAAGGCCAATGCTGCTATACCTAAGGGAAGTTTTTGTACTTTACCTGAATCTATTATTCATCTATCAACGCCCGAAGGAGTTACTGCATACCAAAGACAGTACCCTTTGCCGTTCACCATGAGACCAGTCATTGATAAGGCTGTTCAAGGTTGGTTGGATGAGGGAATTATTGTCCGTGCTGCTGTGAATTCATCCTGGAACAGTCCATTGACTTTGGCTGACAAGAAGGATGCATATGGCAATAAGACTGGCAAACGACCTTGCCTGGATCCCCGTCATATCAACAAACATTTACCTGATGATCGTTACCCTTTACCATTGATCAAGGAAATTTTTCAATCCTTAGGAGGAAACACTGTGTTCACTACATTGGATCTAAAAAGCGCATTTCATCGTTTCAAGATCCACGAAGCGGACCAGCATAAAACCACGTTCACTCACGATGGTATTCAATATATGTTCCAAGGATGTCCCTTTGGTTTGAAGCCGATTTCATCCAAGTTTCAGAGAGTGATGTCTTTGATTTATCAACATCTGCCATTCGTGCGGACATTTGTGGATGATATCGTTATCTTCTCTCCATCGATTTCTGAGCATATCACACATGTTCAAACAGCCATTCAGGCTCTGACCGACGTGAATTTACTGCTCAATCCTGCAAAATGCCATTTTGCGCAATCTTGCATCTTCCTACTTGGTTTTTGCATTTCAGCTGAAGGCGTCGTACCTGATAGCCGCAAACTTACCAATGTGATGTCATGGCCAATTCCACGTACTGGTAAGGAGGTCCAGAAATTTATGGGTGTTATCAATTATTTCCGCGATCATATTCCTACCGTTGCTACCATCAGTGCTTCTATCGATGCACTTCGTTCGGCTGGTAGTTTAACGAACCTATGGACCGATGTGCACACTAAGCATTTCCAGATGCTTAAAGATATACTGGCTCAACAGCTTTTGCTGGAATATCCTGATCTCAACAAGCCATTCCTTGTCGCAACTGACGCATCCAACTATGGTATTGGTGCTGTATTATTTCAGATGCAAGGTAAAAGGAAACAATACATTTCCTTCATGGCTCGAGCTCTCAGTAAGTCCGAACGCAACTACTCAACTACGAAGAGAGAGTTATTGGCCATTGTTTATGCTCTCCAGAAGTTTCACCAGTATCTTTGGGGTAATCCGTTCACACTTTATACGGACCATAAGGCGCTTGTTTATCTTCACACTCAGAAGATTGCAAACCCCATGATGCTTACCTGGTTGGACACTATCCTCGATTACACCTTTACGGTTGTCCATTTACCTGGTGTTCAGAATGTTCTCCCTGACTCTCTTTCTCGCTTGTTTATCCCTGATGACAAGCTGGAGGGGGGTATTGTCGTCAAAGGACCGAAGCCAGTTGTATCAAAGAAGTCTACTGATGGACACAAAATATTCAGGATTAAATCCGTTGCTTCAACTGATGATACGATGTGTCCACCAGAGAATGAAAGACACGGTATCTTGGAAAAAGCACATTTACTTGGAGGTCATGAAGGAGCTGAACATATCGTACGACATATCCATGCAGATGGTATCCACTGGAATAATATATTCCAAGATGCTGTGACATTGGTCAAGTCATGTATTGAATGTCAACGCTACAACATAGGGCAGAAAGGCTATAATCCCTTGAGACCAATCTATGCATACCTTCCTGGAGATCACTGGGCTGCTGATCTTATCAATTTTCACAAGACATCAAATGCCGGTAACAACTATATTCTGGTACTTGTGGATATTTGCACTCGTTTCTGCATTTTACGTGCTTTACCGAACAAACAATCAGATACACTCGTCAAAGCATTTGTCGAAGTATTCTGTGATTTTGGAATACCCAAGGTTATACAATCTGACAATGGTTCTGAATTCAAGAATCAGTTCATGAAGAAGTTTGTTGAACACCTGGGAATTGACCATCGGCTGACCACACCCTACCATCCAAGAGCGAATGGTGTGGCTGAACGACATGTACAGGAAACGATACATATCTTGCGGAAAAAGATAGAAGGTGCTGGCAAAGACTGGGACTACTATGTTCCCAGCACACAATTACACATCAATAGTCGCATGACGGTTATCCATATTTGCTCTTTTGTGTGACATCTATTCTATTATTTTTTAATTATTTCGTATATCCAAAATTATTTTAAATATCTTTAATATATTTTATTTATTAAAATCTTTTATTTCTTATCATTTATTATTAAATTTAACTTGGTCATTTTTTTTTATGATTTTTTTTTAAAATTTACCTTATTTTTTCACCCCTTCTAAATTAACTAGCCTTAGATATCCGTCTAGAGAATTAATTATTAAGTGAATAACTAAAAGTCTAGACTTTAAAGGTAGAAATCGTTATATTATTCTATCATTATATATTTAAATTAAATCTATTAATAATTGAATTTTAATAATAATTAAAATGGATACCAACTTAATAAAAGAATTTGAAAAATTATTAAGTGAACAATGGGGTTTTCTTCAAAATACCTGGCCTACCATTGAAAAAAAAAGATTTAATAGAACTAAAATTAAAAATATAGATAATATAAATAAAATTAAAAATATATTATTAGAAAAATTAGGTATTATACCTGTATATTATTTCTTAACAGTATTATTTGGAGCATATGATTATTGTGGACCATATAAAAATATAGAAAAAGGTTTATTAATATTATATTATTTAGTAGTTGATATACCTATGATTGAATTTGAAACATATATACCTAAAAGTTCTTTTTATGATATTTATAATGAATTTTTTAGAAAACGATATAGTATTTTAAATAAAATAACTACTATAGCATTAGCTACTATGTTTTCAACTATTAAAATTAGAATATATAGTGCTATTAAATATAATCCTTCTGATTTTTCTCATGTTACATTATATTTAGATGGGCATGATACTAGAGGTTTAGAAATTAGATGTAATGATAAAAGTTTATATTATTCTTATAAATTAAAAAAAACAGGGTTTAGAACGCAAGTATGTATTGATATTAATAATATGATTTTATTTATATCTTCTTCTGAACCATGTAAAAATAATGCTGATGGTACTATGTTTTTAAATATGAAATTAGAAAATAAATTACATGAATTAGATTGTATTGCTTTAGATGGAGGTTATACATTATTTTTAAATTCTATTATTAATGAATCAAATACCTTAACATGGAAAAATTTTATTGTTCCAATTAGAAAAGAAAAAAATAAAGAATTATCAGATATAGAAAAAAATTATAATAATATTTTTGGTGGATTTAGATCTAAAATAGAAACAATATTTGCAAATTTAATTAATATTTTTAAACGATTAGATAATAAAAAACCTATAAGAACAGATAATAGAAATATTTTTAATTTACAATTTAAGATATGTTGTTTATTAATGAATATTAAAAATTTTGTTAAATTAGGAAATATAAATCCTCAACCTTATCATTCATATTGGTTACACGATAATTTTGATTTTCAATATATAGAAATAGATACAAATAATTATTTAGAATCTCCTACTTTAATAGATAAAATAAAAGATACTAATAATTTATTAAAATTACAGCGAGAATTTTTAAATTTAAATTTAGAAAATAATGATATTAATATAGTAGAAAATTTAGATATAATGGATGATATTGATATTAATAATAAATTAATATATGAAGTAGAAAAAATATTAGAACATAAAATTATAAATAAAAAATTATATTATTTAATTAAATGGAAAGATTATAATGAACCATCATGGGAAAAAGAAACAAATATAAATACAAAAGAATGTATAAATGAATACTGGGAATTAAATATATAATTATAAGAATATATCTTTTAATTTTAATTTTTAAGAATTAATTTTTATATTCAATAACATATATAATATTTTCATTATAGAAATTATCTAATTTTATTTCATATTTAATATCACTTTCTATTAATAAATTTAATATATTTTCTTTATTTATTTTATTTTTTAAAATATTTATATAATTTATATATTCAATATTTTCTATTTTATTATTATTAATTATTATAAAAAATTCATTATCAAATTCATTTTCATCATATATTTCTTTAATTATATTTTTATATTTATTAAAATCTATTTTATATTTTATATAATTTTTATTTTCATATATTATATCATATATATTTCGATAAGTTATTAATTCAAATATTAAACATTTAAAACCTTCTAAACTATATTGCCAAGACATTTTTTAAATTAGTTTAAAATTCACTTTTCATAAATATTTAAATTTTATGATGAAGATATATTAATCAGAAGAATAAAATTAAAATATTTGTGTAACATATACTTTTTAGAAATTTCCCGGTGGGACATTTTTTGATATTTTTTTATTAATTTTTAATAATATAGACGGTTATCCATATTTGCTCTTTTGTGTGACATCTATTCTATTATTTTTTAATTATTTCGTATATCCAAAATTATTTTAAATATCTTTAATATATTTTATTTATTAAAATCTTTTATTTCTTATCATTTATTATTAAATTTAACGGACAAATATTACTATAGAACACAGATACTATATATGGTAATCTATTTTTAAACTCATCTACAATATTTTACATTATTATGGAATTTTTATTATATTTTAAAATTTTAAAATTTAATAATTATAAAGCATTTTAAAAATATAATTCAATAATAATTTTAATCTTTAATACTCTTTATTTATTTATATAATAGCTAATATATTTAAAAAATTAGATATAAAAAGAGTTATTTCTATTTATCTCTATTTTTCTAGATTTTATATTTATATTTAGAATTAAAAAAGATTAACTATTATAATTTATTTTATTATATATTAATTAACTATAATAATTATATATATAATTTATATTATTTATATTATTTAAAAAAAGTCGTAGTGGAGCATCTATTATAATTAATTTAAATCTTAATTAAATATAGATAATAGCTCCTGTTATTTTTTTTAATTTTTAATTTTTCGTCTTTTCTTTTTTACATATTCATAATTTAGCTTATACATAATAATATCATAAATAATATAATATTTTATTTTTTATTTATAAGTTAATTCAATTTTTAATTAATTTAAATATTTAAAAAATTATAATTAATAATAAATTATTAAACCTTTTATTTTTCAATTTCAATTTTAAATTAATTTATCTGAGTTTAAAATATAAAAACTGTGTGTTATAATAATAATTGTCCAATTTAACTTGGTCATTTTTTTTTATGATTTTTTTTTAAAATTTACCCTATTTTTTCACACCTTCTAAATTAACTAGCCTTAGATATCCGTCTACCTCGGCGCGGATATAGTCGACTCCAGGTGCTTTTCTTGGGGCTAAGCGTTTGATGGCAGCAGCGACTTGGGTGGAGATAAAGGGACAGGCAGGATTAAATGGAACAGGGGAGGTAGTGGACGGATTGTCAGAAGGAGCGGATTGGGTGAGGAGGTTACCAGCATATACTTGCTCAAGATGAGAAGCAATGCGGTTGGCAGCAGTGGTGGGACCAGCAGGATCGGTGAACTGTGGGGATGTCTTACGGTTGCGGCGTAATTTACCCATCATGGCGGTTGCGGCACTAAATTCACCATCAGTCAACTTGTCACAAAATTCACGCCACGTTTGTCGTTTTCGTTGACTGACTAAACGGCGGAATTGGGCTGCGGCTCGTTGGTGATCGATCCAGCGAGACATTTTGCTGAGACCTTCAGCTCGCCGCCATTTACGGTAGCAGAGCTCACGGTACTCAAAAGCATCTTCGAGCTGCTGGTTCCAGAACCATTTGCAGGATCGTCGAGGAGGGCGGCGCCGTCCAACGGTGCTGTCAAGTGATGAATAAATGGCATCACAGAGGCGGTGGTGGAGGGAATCGAGAGAAGGAGTGGTGTGGGAATCGGATATTTCGATCAGGTCTTGTTGTAATGAATGTATGTTGATGGTAAATGATTGGAGGAGGCGATCGCAATGATGGGGGTCGGCAAGTTTGTTGAGATTCCATAATTGGCGTGGATGATGAGTGGTGGAGGAAGGAGGTGGTATGTTGGGAACGAAAGTGAGGTGGGAAAGCTTATGATCGGAACCCAGGGATATGTCTTGATCGATGTGCATGGAAGGTGTAAGGAGCGGCTGAGTACTTAGGAACCAGTCAATAATACTGGAACCATTACCACGGAGGTAGGTGTATTGGGCATAGGCCAGCAAAGCATTCCATAGGGTGAGGCCATGTTCGTGGATCCATTCTAAAAATATTGTACCGCGAGGGCTAACATAGTGGTCACCAACAAAGGAACCGATACGCGCATTGAAATCACCGCACAGTATGGTATTTGTGGTGCCGGGTGCAGAGTAAGGTAAGGCATTAAGGGTGGCAAGGGCGTCGGAATCGGAGAGGGATGGGGGAAGGTACAAGCAGTGAATTAGATGATTGGCAGTAATACATGAGAGGACATATGGTGATGTGGTTGGAAGGACTGTGATGGGGTAAGGAAAGGAAGGATTTACAAGGAGTGAAATACCCATGCTACCGACGTAAGCGTTGGGGAGGCGTTGGCCATAGTTATGGTATTGGGACCAGTGGGTGGGAAATGAGTGTGGGAAGAGAAGCCAGGTTTCAGTAATAAAGATTAGTGAGGAATCTGAGGTAAAGGAAAGTAGATTATCAATAAGTTGACGTTGGAGCCCGTTGGCATTCCATAAAGTGATCGTTAGAGGGTCACTCATTGATGGATATTTTCGGGGGTGGAGGTGCTGGTGGAGTCTGAGCTGGCGATTTGTATCGGTTCGTCATGATCATCATTCATTGTGAAAGGATTGGCAGGGGTGGTGGTGGGTTGGGATCGCGATTGTAGGAAAGAACGGAGCATCTCATCGTCGATCCACTTGTGGCTGTGGAAGGAACGGGCAACGGCAAATTTAACCGGTTCACGAATGAACTGGAGAGCACGTTCAAGGCGCTTGAGGTGGATCTGATCAGCCTCACGTTGACGGTCCTCCGTGGATAGTTCAGCGAACTTGGGATCGCGCAGACGCGATTGATCACGGGGATTATACTCGTTGAGGGGTGAGATGTTGTGACGAGCAAACAAATTGGTCAAGGTTTCGTGGTAGTCATTGTGGATCAACAAAGCGACGACCTGGCGATCGGGGTAATGCACATCAAGAAGGCGAGAATTATCGAAACCGAGTGTACAAAGAGTTTGGCAAAGGGCCTTGGTTCGCATTCGGTATTTGCTAGGGATATACACATAGCGGAAACCATGGTTTTCACTAGGTGAAGTAAAGGCGCGGGCGAGAGTAGCCATACATTTGGGGGAGACCTTGGATTTTATGGTGCGCTTAACACGCTGGGCCCAAGTTTCCACAATGGTGGAGGGAGCGGTGGTGGTGATGGACGGGAAATTGTCATGGGCATACTGTACTTGGATGCCATGGCACCAGACGAGGTAGAAGACGGGTGCTGAGTTTCCAGCTGGGCAATTTTGGCCTCAGCATCGGCCAATGATTTTTTCAACCGTTGGTTTTCCACGATCAGTTCGTCGTACTGATCCATGCGGCCGCGGAGTTGGTTGAGTTCAGCCATGATGGCGGTCATGAACTCAGGGAGTGCTTCGTGGTGTTCGAAGTGGAGAGCAGAGGATGGCTTGGTGGTCGCGGTTGCACTAGCGGCAGCAGGTGTAACCGTGGTGGTGGGAATGGAGGGAATTTCCTGTTGAGCATCGCCCATTTGGGAGTCCATGGTTTGGGAGGCAGAGGCAGCTTGACCGAGATGTTGTTCGATCAAAAATTGCATATCTATATGACCAAAGCGGTGGCCACAACGGCAAAGGAAAATGGGCATGGCGAGATTAGTTTTGGTATGGCCATTTTTGTTGATGTGGCCAAGATCCAGGCATTTCGGGCATTTGAGGGCAGTGTGGCGCAAGGCCTCAAAATCAGAGTTCAGTTTTTTCAGGGCAGTGGGCGAAAAATTTTTAAGAGGTTTTGCCCCCTCAGCTAGTTCTTGGGTTTTTTCTATTTTTTTGGTGGTTTTAATCGCACCCATTGGAAGTTCGCGTTCGGCGGATGCAGTAACGGTTTCAGGAAGTGTGGTTCGGGTACGTTTCTGTATCGGTAGGCGGGAGATGCGTAGCGGGAGCAGAGATGAGCGGCACCGTTTGCTTAAAGAATATTGTTTCAGCTGGCGGCCAGATGTCGGAATCGCGGGGCAAAAGTTCACTATTTCGCTTGGCGGTTCTAATGGATCTTGCTTAGCAGGTGCTGGGCAACGCGTGGAAGGTAAATTTGGGGAAGGTTGTGTTGCTGAATCTTTCTCTCTAGTTGTCAAGGTAATTACTAAATCCGGTTAAACTTTTATCCGCGAGAAAAGTGATGAATAACGGAATAACCAGTGATTCCTTGGTGTAGATGAAAGTTTTTTTTATTAAAGCGAGGCGAAGCCGAGCACAGACTTCTGGAGTGAAGCAACGTTGCTCTCGCCAGATCGAGGGGGGAGATAGGTCATGAAAAAACCTACTGTACTAGACAGCAGGAAAAAACGAAAAAGGAAACAAATGCATGAAAAATAAAAAATAAAAAATAAAAATAAAAAAAAATCTAAACGGAGCTAATGTCTGATTCCGAAGAAACAGAAACAGGTGGGGGCAAAAGCCAGTTCACGAGGGAACAACCAGGAGCGGGATCACGGTAAGCAATGAAATCAGGATCGGGATCACGGTAAGCAATGAAATCAGGATCGGGATGACAAGCCTGATCTACCTCAAGGAGGATTTGACAAACAATCGGCCAGGTACGGCGCCAGTAAGCAATGCGATGGGATGAGGTGGGGCGGGTTTTTGGGAGCTGGTTCAAAATACAAGAGAGTGGATCAGCGTGATCAGGATCATTGCGAACGTTGAGACGACGGTGCATGTTCAAACACCAGATTAAATGGCGCCGGCTTGTGTGGTCATGCTTGCACCAACAGGTAATAGGGCGGCCAGGAAGCCAACCCATTCTCCATCGGATGCAACGACTTCGTTCATGGTGGGTCATTGGCAGGAACATGATGGGATCGATGCCCAGACGGGGACGGCAGGCGCGAAGGAGGGTGCTGTTACGACTATCCAGCCGATGCTGGAAAGTGTCTTGAAGGAACGTCCAGAGGGCGGATTTAAAGTCTTTTGCAGACGTGTGAGAGCGGGGTCGAGGGAGGCTAACCCAGATTTGATTCCTGTAGTAGGAAGGCCAAAGGTGTGGAGTATGTTTAATGTGAGGCTTTAGAGCACTCAAAAGACTGTCGTCAGGAAGGTGGTAAGATCGGAATAAATATTTGGCTTGGAGAATGCTGTATCGTTCAGCCATTGTGGGCAAGCAGGTCAAGTGACGGAAAACAACTGTGGATGCGGTGCGATGGCCACCAAAAATCATGCGTAAGCATTGATCTTGAGCACGATCGAGCTGAATACGCTGTTTCACAGAAAGGCGAAGAAGGGCAAGGCCATATTCGAACTTGGGACGGACGAATTGTTGGTACAAGCGAGCGGAAAGCAAACGAGAGAAACCATGTGGGTTGACACCCAGGCCACGTAAGACACGCATGGTACCCAAGGCGCCGCTGCTGTTCTGGTGGATGAGGAGAGTCGGATCGATCAAGCCCTGGCTGTTGAAAGGAATACCGAGGTACTTGAAGGTGGAGGCGGATTGAAGGGGAACATTGTAAAGTGTTAAAGGAATGGAGGGGGAAACCGAAGGTGAACCATCGTATAAAACGACACACTTTTCCGGATTCCATCGATAGCCTAGTTGTTGGCTATGCCTTTCACAGGCGGCAAGGAGAGTAGGCATGGTATTCCAAGTACCAATGATCGCAACATCGTCAGCATACAAAAGGCAATTGATGCGTTGACCGCGGACAAGGAATTGGAAAGGAGCAACAAAGTCATCATCATCTGGAAAGAGTGATGCTTCGGCAAGACGGAGGACACCAGGGAGGGTATTGATGTACAAGGAATAAAGGAATAGAGAGAGCACGGAACCTTGAAGGACACCGGTTTTAGGTTGGAAACGAGAGGAGTTGGTGCCTGAGAGCAGGACTTCGATGGAAACATCGTCGAATAAATTACGGAGGAGAGAAAGGAGTGGAGGTGGGGCCGTAGATTCAATTTCTTGCCATATGACGTTCCGATCAACGGTGTCATAGGCAGATTTGATATCTAGAAAAGCGATAACAGGACTTTGTCCATGAATGGTACGGTGGATGACGGAAAGTTCGTGGAGACATAAGGCTTGGTCCATTGCACTACGTGCAGGGCGGAATCCACCTTGGGCGATGTCGAGGGGAGGGGCAATACGTTCGATTTCTGGCATAAGACAATATTCCAGGATTTTTCTGAACATGGAGGTGAGGCATATGGGTCGATAATTTCCTGGGTCAGTAATATCGCCCTTTTTATAAATCGGTACGGCCTGTGCAACTCGCCAGTCAGAGGGACTAGTCCCCCATTTCCAACAGAGTGCAAAAAGGTGGGAAAGGAGTGGAGAGAGTGGATCAATGAGGACTTGGAGTACCTCAGCGCGAATGTGGTCTACACCAGGAGCTTTTCGGGAGGCAAGGCGTTTGATAGCGGCGGCAACCTGGGTGGAAGTGATGGGGCAAACGAGAGAAGAGGGAATAAGGGAAACATTAGACGGATCGTCGGAAGGAGTGGAGTGGGCGAGAAGGTTACCAGCATATACTTGCTCGAGATGAGAAGCAATGCGGTTGGCAGCAGTAGTGGGGCCAGCAGGGTCGGTGAACTGAGGTGTGGTTTTACGATTGCGCCGTAATTTCCCCATCATGGCAGTGGCATCACTAAAATTGCCAGTGGTCAGCTTATCACAAAATTCACGCCAGGTTTGTCGTTTGCGTCGGCTGACTAAACGGCGGAATTGGGCAGAGGCTCTTTGGTGTTCGATCCAGCGGGACATTTTGCTGAGGCCTTCAGCACGGCGCCATTTTTGGTAGCACTGTTCACGGTAATCAAAGGCATCTTGGAGTTGTGAATTCCAGAACCATTTGCAGGAACGTCGTGGGGGATTGCGTCGGCCAACAGCGGTGTCGAGGGAGGAATAAATGGCATCGCATAGGCGATGATGGAGAGAGTCAAGGGAAGGAACGGTGGGGGAATCGGAAAGTGCGATCAGTTCATGGCGAAGGGAGCGTACATTGGAGGTAAATGAGTGAATGAGGCGGTCCCGATCGGTAGGGTCAGCAAGTTTGCTAAGATTCCATAATTGACGCGGATGGTTGGTAGCGGGTGGAGGAGGAGGCATAGTGGGAATAAACGTGAGATGAGAGAGTTTATGATCGGAACCTAGGGAAACGTCATGATCGATGTGTATGGATGGGGTAAGGAGCGGTTGGGTACTTAGAAACCAGTCAATGATACTAGATCCGTTACCACGAAGGTAGGTAGGTTGGGCATAGGCCAGGGAAGCGTTCCATAATGTAAGTCCATGTTCATGGATCCATTCTAAAAATAAAGTGCCGCGGGAATTAACGTTATGGTCACCAACAAAGGAACCGATACGAGCATTGAAATCGCCGCACAGTATGGTATTTGTGGTGCCAGGTGCGGAGTAAGGGAGGGTAGTGAGAATGGTGAGGGAATCGGCATTAGAGAGTGATGGAGGTAGGTACAAACAATGGATTAGATGATCGGCGGTAATACATGAGAGGACATAGGGTGAGGTGATCGGAAGGATTGTGATGGGATAGGGAAAGGAAGGGTTGACAAGGAGTGAGATGCCTAGATTACCAACGTAGGCATTGGGGAGGCGTTGGCCATAATTATGGTGTTGGGTCCAATGGGTGGGAAATGAGTGTGGTGAGAGGAGCCAGGTTTCACTTATGAAAATGAGTGAGGAATCAGGTGTAAAGGAGAGGAGGTTATCAATGAGGTATCTTTGGAGCCCGTTGGCATTCCATAAAGTGATAGTTATAGGATCATTCATTGATGAGAGTTTTCAGGGGTAGAGGTGCTGGTGGGAGTGCTGTTATTGAGATTCATGTGTTCATCTTCAATATCATTGGTACCGAAAGGATTGGTGAGGCCAGTGTTAGTGGGTTGGGTGCGCGATTGGAGGAAGAAGCGAAGCATATCATCATCAATCCACTGTTGGCTGTGGAAGGAGCGAGCGACAGCGAATTTGACAGGTTCACGAATGAACTGGAGTGCGCGTTCGAGACGTTGAAGATGGATCTGATTGGCTTCACGCTGGCGATCTTCTAAGGACAGACCAACAAACTTGGGGTCACGCAAGTGTGATGGGTCGCGGGGGTTGAAGTCCTTGAGTGGGTTAATGTTGTGACGAGCAAAAGAGGCAACCAGTGTATCATGGTAGTCATTGTGGATGAGCAAGGCGACCACCTGACGGTCCGGATAGTGGACATCAAGGATTCGGGAATTGTCAAAACCGAGAGTGCGGAGAGTTTGGCGAAGTGCCTTGGTTTTCATGCGGAACTTGCTGGGAATGTACACATACTGGAAACCATGAGTTTCGCTAGTGGGGGTGAAGGCTCGAGCGAGGGTTGCCATGCGTTTGGGGGACACCTTTAGTTTTTTGGCGCGCTGAACACGCTTTGCCCAAGTGTCTTCGTCAGAAGGTGAGGTGGTGGTTGGAACGGGAGTCGAATCATTCTCATGAGCATATTTAGATGCCATGGCACCAGAAGGAGTGGGAGGTGAGCGCTGAGTCTCGAGCTGGGCGATTTTGGCTTCAGCGGCAGCCAATGATTGTTTCAATCGCTGGTTTTCGGCGATCAGTTCGTCGTACTGATCCATGCGGCTGCGAAGCTGGTTAAGTTCAGCCATGATGGTCGTCATGAATTCTGGTAGGGCTTCATGGTGTTCGAAACGAAGGGCAGGTGGTGGTTGGGAAACTGAGGATTCACCAGGGGCAGAAGGTGTGACAGAGGCGTTGTCAGGCACAGGACCATCCTGTTGCACATCAGACATTTGGGAGTCCAATGGTAGCAAAGCGGAGTCGGCGCGACCACGATGTTGGTCGATAAGAAATTGCATATCGATATGACCAAAGCGGTGTCCACATCGACAGAGAAAAAGTGGCATTGCGGGATCAGTTTTGCTGTGGCCATTTTTGTTGATGTGGCCAAGCGCAAGACATTTCGGACACTTGAGGGTAGTGTGGCGCAAGGCCTCAAAATCGGAGTTCAGTTTTTTCAGGGCATTGGGTGAAAAAATTTTAAGAGATTTGGCCACCCCAGCCGGTTCTTGGCTTTTTTCTATTTTTTTGTTTGTTTTTATCGCACCCATCTGAGGTTCGCGTTCAGTGGATGGAGTAATGAGTTCAGGAAGTGTGGTTCGGGTGCGTTTTTGAATAGGTAGGCGAGAAATGCGTAGCGGAAGCAGAGATGACCGGCGCCGTTTGTTTAAGGAATATGTTTTAAGCAGGTGGCCTGATGGTGGAATCGCGGGATGGAAATGCTCGATTTCGCTTGGCGGTTCTAACGGAACTTGTTGGCGGGGCACTGGGCAATGCTTTGGAGGCGAAGTATCGGTAGGTTGTGTTGCTGTATCTTTCTCTCTAGTTGTCAAGGTAATTACTAAATCCGGTTAAACGTTTATCCGCGAGAAAAGTGATGAATAACGGAATAACCAGTGATTCCTTGGTGTAGATTAAAGTTTTATTAAAGAAGGATAAAAGGCGGCTATGAACACTTGTCCGCATGGGGACTATTGCTCTCGCCAGATCGAAGGGAGGGAGGGTCATGAAAAACCTGCAAAGCAGGAAAAAGGTATAGGGGAAGGGTAGCCTGAGTTACTTTCAGTCGGAGCTACTCAATGATTCTGAAGAATGCAATGAGGGTGGTGGTGGTGGGGAGAGCCAGTTCAAGAGAGGACGGCCAGGATCAGGGTCGCGGAAAAGAAGGAATTCAGGATCAGGGTGGCAAGCTTGGTCTACCTCAAGAAGGATGCAACAGACCACAGGCCAGGTATGTTTCCAGTATGTGATGCGTGAAGGGGAGGTGGGAGGCGATTTAGGTAGACGGTTCAGAATGAAAGATAAAGGATCAGGATGGTCAGTATCGAGGGGAACTCGAAGACGGTGGTGCATGTTCAGGCACCAAATTAAATGGCGTCTACTGGTATGATCGTGTTGACACCAACATGGGTGAGGACGACCGGGGAGCCAACCCATACGCCATCGGATACAGCGGCTGCGTTCCTTGTTAGTCATGGGCAGAAACATGATCGGATCAATGCCGAGGGTGGGGCGGCACGCGCGGAGGAGAGTGCTGTTACGGGAGTTAAGGCGAAGTTCAAATTCTTCTTTGTGGAATGCTTGTATGGCCGCCTTGAGATCTTGGGAGGTAGCTTCAGCACGCGGTCGTGAGAGATTAATCCAGATCCGGTTTTTATGAAGCATGATCCAATGATGGTGGGAGCGGCGTATGTGTGGTTGAAGGGTACGCAGTAGACAATCATCTGGTAAATGGTGGGAGCGATGAAGATATTTCGCCTGGAGAATGATTTGGCGTTGGGTCATGGTTGGGAGCCGGGTCAAATGACGAAATACAACAGTTGAGGCAGTACGGTGGCCACCAAAGATCAGCCGTAAACATTGGTCTTGAGCACGGTCAAGTTGTACACGCTGTTTCATGGAGGGGCGGAGGAGGCCAAGGCCATACTCAAATTTAGGACGTACAAATTGTTGGTAAATGCGGGCAGAAAGCAGACGGGGAAAGCCAGTAGGGCTAACGCCTAGGCTATGTAACGTACGCATGGTGGCAAGGGCGCCCCGACTGTTCTGGTGAAGAAGGCGATCAGCATCAATCATACCTTTGTTGTTGAATGGGATTCCAAGATAAGGAAAGCAGTCAGCGCCTGGGAGTGGGGTACCATACAAGGTCAAACGGTGGGAGGGGCTAGATATAGGTGAGCCATTGTAGATGAGAACACATTTGTCAGGGTTCCAGCGGTAGCCTAGTTGACGGCTGTGTCGTTCACATGCAGCGAGAAGAGTAGGCATGGTATCCCAGGTACCGATAATGGCAACATCGTCTGCGTATAGGAGGCAGTTGATGCGTTGGTGGTTGATCAGGAAGTCCGTGGGCATGGCAAAATCGTCATCGTCATTGAGAAACGCTTCTTCGGCTAGTCGTAGGACTCCCGGTAAGGTGTTGATATAGAGGGAATAAAGAAATGGGGAAAGGACTGAGCCTTGAAGGACTCCAGTGGTTGGGTGGAAGCGGGTGGAAGTAGCACCGGAAAGGATGACTTCAATGAAAACATGGTCAAATAGGTTCTGGATGAGGATAAGGAGAGGGAGGGGAGCGGTGGACTCAAGCTCTTGCCATATGACTGTCCGGTCTACTGTGTCATAAGCGGATTTAATATCCAGAAATGCGATTACTGGTGGTTGACCATGGATGGTTCGATGCATGGCACTAAGCTCATGGAGACATAGTGCCTGGTCCATGGCACTGCGGGCATGGCGAAATCCTCCTTGAGCTATATCGAGGGGGGGTGTAGCAGCTTCCAGATGTGAGGCAAGACAGTATTCTAGGACTTTGCGGAACATGGATGTCAAACAAATTGGGCGGTAGTTACCAGGATCGGTGGGGTCGCCTTTTTTGTAAATAGGAACAGCCTGGGCAATGCGCCAGCATGAGGGACTATTTCCCCATTTCCAGCATAGAGCAAAGATGAGAGTGAGCACTGGGGTCAATGGTTCAGCAACGGCGTGCAGCATTTCAGCGCGCACATGATCAATCCCAGGGGCTTTGCGCGGTGCGACACGTTTGATGGCTGCTATGACTTGTGCTTCAGTAATGGGGCAAGATTCCGTAAAAGGAACAGAGGATGGTGGGGCATTGGTAGGCGGTGAGGAAGGTAGGAGAGTACCATCATACACTTGTTGCAGGTGAGCGGCAATGCGGTCAGCAGCAGCAGAGGGTCCAGTAGGATCAGTAAACTGAACAGTAGTTTTTCGATTACGTCGTAGCTTTCCCAGGGTTGCTGCAGCAACCGAGAGATCGCCTTGGCCCATCTTGTCACAGAACTCACGCCAGGTTTGGCGTTTACGTTGGTTGGTCAGGCGGCGGAATTTTGCAGCAGCTTCTTGATGGGTAATCCAACGGGCTATTTTACTAGTGCCAGAAGCCCTACGCCAGAGCTTATACAGTGGCCATCAAAAGTGGCTCCATATTTGCGATTTTTAGGTTTACATCATCATATCTCAGCAACTACTAACTATAAAAGGGTCATTTTAGGCTCATTTGAAAGCTCTTTTAATTCTCTATTAACATGCCAAATTTCATGCGATTCCAATCATTGATTGCTGAAAAATCTGAAAAACAAAAAGTTTGGTACATGGAGCCACTTTTGATGCACAGTGTCAATTTTTTAAAAAGTGGCCAAAAAACCGTCACAATAAATTTTATGGCGGTTGTTTTGCTTCAGACAAATTCTTCTTTCATTTTTACTTACTCTCACACATTTTTACTTCCTGATTTCACTACATCTGCAATTCCGCATCGCAATCTCAACATCATGCATCGCATCAGCAATGATCTCGAAAATCGCATTGTCACGCATCTCCAGAATGGGAAGTCAGCCCGCCAGGTTGCTAGAGAACTCTCTGTCAGTCGTAAAGTAGTTGGTAAAATCCGAGCCAAGTATGATTTTCCTAGCAATATCATAAAAACAGGTCGCCCTTCACTTATGGATAAGCGCACAAAAGCATATTATGTGCGTGCTGTTACCAAGGATGGACTTGAGAATGCTGCCCAGGTGGTCAAGGCCTTAAAGGAAGATCTTGGAGTGACTATAAGTGTCAGTACAGTACGTAGAGTACTCAAGGAGGCTGGATTGGCTTCATATGTCAAACCAAAGAAGCCTGCACTTAGTGTAGCCAACAGAAAGAAGCGTCTCCAGTGGGCTCAAGCACACAAACACTGGACTATGGATGATTGGAAGAAGGTGATTTAGTCTGATGAAGTCAAAATCAATCGTTATGGATCAGATGGTCGTCAGTATTACTGGAAGAAGCCTCAAGAATCATTACAACCTAAGCATGTTCAGCAAACAGTAAAACATGGCGGTGGTAATATCATGGTCTGGTCCTGCATCACTTGGGAAGGAGTTGGCTATATGGCCAAAATTGATTCTATCATGGACAAGGAACTCTACAGAGACATTTTGAGGGATGAATTGTGGATGACAATCAATGAATACCATCTGAATCCTACCGAGCTGGAGTTTATGCAAGATAATGATCCAAAACACAAGTCTCATTTGGTGATGGAATGGCTTGCAAATCAGCCATTTAAGGTTATGGAGTGGTCTCCACAGTCTCCTGATCTTAATCCCATTGAAAATGTATGGACACTACTGAAAAAGAAGTTGTTTCAGTATGAAACTGTACCCAAGGGTATGACTGAACTATGGAGACGTACCCATGATACTTGGTATAAAGAAATTTCCAAAGAAACTGTTCAGAAGTATATAGAAACAATGCCTGCACGTTGTCAAGCAGTTATAAAGGCTAAAGGTAGTTGGACAGACTATTAAATAAAGTTTTTTTAAAAATTGACACTGTGCATCAAAAGTGGCTCCATGTACCGAAATTTTTGTTTCTCAGATTTTTCAGCAACCAATGATTGGAATTGCATGAAATTTGGCATGTTAATAGAGAATTAAAAGAGCTTTCAAATGAGCCTAAAATGACCCTTTTATAGTTGGTAGATGCTGAGATATGATGATGTAAACCTAAAAATCGCAAACATGGAGCCACTTTTGATGGCCACTGTAGCATTTTTCGCGGTGATCAAAGGCTGTCTGTAATTGTGGAGTCCAGAACCAACGGCAAGAGCGGCGTGGAGGAGACCGGCGGCCAACTGCATGGTCGAAAGCATCGTATATAGTATTTGACAGACGTGTGTGAAGGGATTCGAAACAGGGTGGGATGTTGGATGTGAGGAGTTTAGGAAGGTCATCGGCAAGTGGTTGGAGTAAGGAGCGGAATTTGTCGTTGAGATTTTCCAATGTGTTAGGGTCTGTCAGCTTACTGAGATGCCACAGTTGTCTTGGGTGTGTACTTCCGGGAGCAGGTGTAGGATGGGAGGTGATGAAAGTAAGATGGATGAGTTTGTGATCAGAGCCAAGGGAATTTTCTGAGTCAATGCGCATGGAAGGTGAAATGAGGGGGAGGGGACTTAGGAACCAGTCAATAATACTGGAGCCATTGCCTCTAATGTATGTGGGCGACGCATAGGCCAAAGAGGCATTCCAGAGGGTGAGACCATTTTCATGTATCCATTCTAGAAATAAGGTACCCCGTCTGGTAGTTTCGTGGTCGCCAACAAAGGAGCCAATACGAGCGTTGAGATCGCCACAGATAATGGTATTGCTGGTGTTGGGTGTAGAGAGCGGGAGATCGGAGATAATGGTGTATGCCTCTATGGCAGAGAGAGATGGTGGAAGGTAGAGACAATGGAGAAGAAGGTCGGCAGTAGTACATGACAAGACATAGGGTGAGTTGGGTGGCAGGACGGTGACTGGGTATGGATATGCAGGATTTATGAGAAGCGAGATGCCCATACTACCAGCATATGCGTTTGGTAATTGTTTTCCATAGTTGTGGTGTTGGGGCCAATGGGTCGGAAAAGAGTGTGGGGGGAGGAGCCAGGTTTCAGTAATAAAAAGTAGGGAGGATTCGGCAGTGAAAGAGAGTATTGTATCAATGAGATGGCGTTGTAAGCCATTGGCATTCCATAATGTCAGTGTAATCGTGTTATTCATTGGGAAGGGAGGTTGGTGGGGGTAGTGCTGGTGGGAGGGGTGCTGCCGGTAACCATGTCGGTATCTTCAACATCATTGTCATCATCATCGGTGACGAAGGGGTTGGTGGGCTGAGAGGGTTGTGTATCAGGTTGAGGTGAGGTAAGAACTGACCGGAGCGTGTCTTCATCAATCCATTGTTGTTGGTAAAAGGAACGAGCAACTGCGTATTTGACCGGTGGTCGGATAAAACGTAGGGCTCGTTCAAGGCGTTGTGCATGGATCTCATTAGCCTTGGTTTGACGTTCATTTGCCGGCAAGTCTGCAAATTTGGGATCGCGGAGATGAGCAGGGTTACGAGGATTAAAATCAGAGATCAAAGTAATTTTGTGACGTTCAAGGTTTTGGAGAAAAGCAGGATGGTAATCATTGTGGAGCAAAAGTGCAACTACCTGACGGTCAGGATAGTGTACATCGAGGATGCGTGAATTGTCGAAGCCCAGAATGCGAAGACGTTGGCGGAGCTCTTTTGTTTTCATACGGAATTTGCTTGGGATATAGACGTACTGGAAGCCACTATTTCCACTGGTATCGAAAGCGCGAGCGGTAGTGGCCATCCGTTTAGCAGAAGGCTGTTGCTTCTTGGGGCGATGTTTGCTGGCTCGGGCAGCCCATGTATCCTGAGTTGGGGGGGGTGCAATAGGTGTGTCTGGGGCATACTTGGAGGCCATGGTACCAGTGGGTGCAGCAGGAGATGAAACAAATTCAAGCTGAGCAATGCGAGCTTCAGCAGCAGTCAGAGAGTCTTGGAGCTGCTGGTTGAAATTTTTTAATCGCTGGTTTTCAGCGATCAACTCATCGTATTTATCCATACGACTACGGAGGGTGTTGAGCTCATGGAGGACAGTTTTCATAAAATCCGGGAGCGCATCGTGATGTTCAAAACGAAGCGCAGGTTGCTGGGGTTCTCCTGAGGTAGCCGGTGGTTCAATAGTCGGAGTGCTAGGGGTAGTTGGAGCAGGGATGTCAGCTTCTGAATCATCGGTCATCAGCATGTCAGTTTTTTCTAGGGTAGATATATTTCGTGCGCGGTATTGTGCGATTAAAAATTGCATCGTAAGATGCGTAAACCGTTCTCCGCAGCGGCAAAGAAAAAGAGGCATGGGAGGATCGCTCTTATTATGGCCGTTTTTACGAATATGGCCTAGAGTGTGGCATTTGGGACATTTGAGATCTGTGTTGCGCATGTTCTCAAAGTCGGAGTTCAATTGTTCCAGGGCTTCAGGAGAAATCTTTTTTTGAGGTTTCGATGCCCCCGTTGGGTCTTGGGCTTTTTTTTCAATTTTTTTGATGGTTTTGACCGCACCCATAGTGTGTTCACGCTTGGTAGTGAAGCTAATAAGTTCAGGAAGGGTGACGCGGGTACGTTTTTTCGTGGGGATACGGGAAATGCGAGATGGGAGTAACGATGACCGCCGCCGTTTGTTTAAAGAATATTTTTTAGGCTGATGGCCGGATGTCGGAATGGCGGGGCAGAAATGCACTATTTCGCTCTGCGGTTCTAATAGATCTTGCGCAGCTGGTGGTGGGCAGTGCGTTGGAGGTAGGATATCGGGAGGTTCGGTTGTTGTGTCTTTCTCTGTAGTTGTCAAGGTAATTACTAAATCCGGTTAAACGTTTATCCGCGAGAAAAGTGATGAATAACGGAATAACCAGTGATTCCTTGGTGTAGTTGGTTATCACGTCTGTCTAACACACAGACGGTCGCCAGTTCGAATCTGGCAGGAATCATTTTTATAACATTTTTTTGTGTCGTAACCTTTTTTGTGTCGTTTTCGGGGTTTGCTGAATCTATTGTCGTGGCTGAAGCGGATAACGTCCGAAAATGGTAATCAGCTTAGCATCTTGCTAAGTACAACCATCCTTGTCAGTTACGCCGGTTCTTCTTTTGCGCCGATTAGATTTGCTATACCAAAGTTTAGCAAATACGGAAGACAGCGCATTGGCTCGTCCGCAGATCGATGTCTGGAGGAACCTTCGAGAAGGTATGAAGGACCAATGGATGAACGAGGCATACCAAAGGTATTGCCTGGAAAACGGAAGAAATATAGACCGAATCCGTTTAGCATTAAAGTGGTCCGTAATACTTCTTGATTGGTTATGTTTCGGAATAATAGAAAACCGTGCAGGAAGTTGACGAGAACCTTCCTGAAGATTGTAGACATAAAAATGATCTTGATAGAAAATATAAATATGACCATGTTATGGTAGAAATAAAGAATGAACAAAAACTACAGATTTAAACTGAACTCTAAAGGAGTACTCAAATCTGACAACTGGTAGCGGCTGAAAAGAAACCCGACCTGAGCCCAATTACTATTACGACGAAACCGGAACTATGGACGCACAAATGAAGACTCTCACCGAAGCTTTGGCTTACCTTCTGGAACGCGAGAAGAAGAAGGAAGAAAACGCCGGAAAGCAGACCCAAGGTGCAGAAGTCAAGGTTCCTCTGCCTGCGAAGTTCCGAGGTGTCAAGGACCCCGTCGTCGTGGAAAACTGGATCGATGATGTCGACCAATACTTCACCTTTACAAAAATGCCGGAGGAACAGCGGTTCAACTTTGCTGTTATGCTCCTCGAAGACAAGGCGAAGATGTGGTGGCGACGTCACAAGCAGACTAGTGGTGACGATACGATCGATAACTGGGAAGATTTATGCGATGCCATTCGGCACTACTTTGTCCCAACTGGTGTGTACCGACAAGTCCGTGGAAAGTTGCACAACCTACGACAAACTGGTTCCGTGCAACGTTATGCCGAAGAATTCCAGGACTTGAGAGCGATCGCTGGTGATGTCTCGGAAGCGGAAGCTTTGGACCGCTTCACTCGTGGTTTACGTATTCCGATCCAGGAATATGTGTACACTTATAGACCGGAGACTCTGGATCGTGCCATCGAGTTGGCTATGGACTACGAAGATGCTCGCCGTGGTAATTTCCGTCCCGTATTCCGTCCCCAGCAAGCTCAACGTCGGTTCAATGGACCCGAACCGATGGATCTGGACTTGCATGAATTGGATCGTCCCAGGAGACAACGACGTCCCAACGGCAAGAAGCACGTCAAGACCCCGAAGTGCTATGCCTGTGACCAGGAAGGTCACCTCGTGAAGGATTGCCCAGTGGTTAAAGCGGCCAAAGCTGCTTTAAAAGTCAACGCGCAATAGGTCAAGAGGGGGCCGTATTGCGCAAAGAAGATGTAACCACCCCTCTACCGGAACTAGGTCCTGGAAGCAAGGATCAGGGTGCTGGGAAGAAGCAGGGCGGTGGTGTCAAGAAATCGAAAGCTTCTTCCCCTTTCAAGTGGTACCAGGACAAGGAAACTCACGACCGTTGGCAAAAGGAACGCGACCATTTGGAAGAATTACAGCATTTGGCCAACGAAGGACGTGGTGCAATTGGTTTGCCGACATATAAAGGTTATATCGCCGGAGAATCTATGCAAGTTATTATCGACTCGGGAGCCTCAGCGAACTATGTATCCAAACGTCTGGCAAAAGGTTTGCCGCAACGCAAGTTGAAATGCGCTCTGCCAGTTAAGTCTGCTGGTAACAAGACGATCATGGTGGATACGGTGGTCAAGGTGCCTTTCTCCTTTGGACAAGTCGAGAAAGAAGATCACATCGAGGCATTGGTGATTCCCAGTCGATTCGATCTCATTTTGGGCATGGATTGGCTTGAAACGGTTAACCCGTCCGTAGACTGGAAGACGAAAACATGGCGGATCCAGACGGCAAAGGGCGAGATGGTGCTCTCCCCTAACGAACGAACGGACGATGACGAACTGAATTTTGTGTGTTGCCCGAGGCAAGTGGTCAAGTCGATCAAGCAGCGAGAAGAAGTAGTCCTGTTGTTGGTCAACAGCGAGAACGACATCAAGGTGGTGTCCGATTTATCGAAGAAAGCTGCTAAGTGGATCGAGGGATACGAAGACCTATTCTCAGACGAGTTACCTGGTTTGCCTCCAGAACGCGACGTACAGCATGTGATCAACGTCGGCGACGCAACACCCGTATCGAAAAACCCCTTCAAGATGAGTCCGCGTGAACTAGATGAACTTCAGCGACAGATCAAGGCGTTATTGGACAAAGGCTTGATCGAACCCAGCAAGTCACCGTGGGGTGCTCCAGTATTGTTCGTACGAAAGAAGGATGGTAGCATGCGTATGTGTGTTGACTATCGAGCTTTGAACAAACTGACGGTTCGAAACACTTCTCCATTGCCACGAATTGACGAATGTTTGGATCGCTTGGCTGGCGCACGTATTTTCTCTTCTTTGGATCTCAAAAGCGGATATCATCAAGTACGATTACGTGACGAGGATCGACCGAAAACTGCGTTTAACACTCGATATGGACAGTATCAGTTCAAGGTGTTACCTTTTGGTTTAACGAACGCTCCACCAATGTTTCAAGCAATGATGAATCGAATTCTCGGAGAATATATCGATCGATTCGTGTTGGTTTATCTCGACGATATCCTGGTGTACAGCCGTAACGAGGAAGAACACAAGAAGCACTTGCACATGGTGTTGGAAAAATTGCGTGAACACAAGCTGTTTCTGAACCCGGACAAATGCGAATTTGGTGTCGACGAATTGGTGTTCGTTGGATTTCGAGTGACTAAGAACGGTATCCTGCCGGATAACAAGAAGATTGCGAAGCTGCAAACTTGGCCCACTCCCACCAATGTCCAGGAGGTGCGACAGTTCCTTGGATTGGCAAGTTATTACCGCCGATTTATCAAGGATTACGCCCACATCGCCGCACCATTGACCGACCTCACGCAAGGTGCTGGACCGAAACGCCGAAAGATCGTTTGGTCGCCGAAATGTCAAGCTGCTTTCGAAGAATTGAAGACACAGTTAGCCTCTGCTCCTGTGTTGGTGGCTCCTCGACTCGATCGTCCGTACAAGGTGTATACAGACGCTTCAGATTTCGCTTGTGGTGCTGTACTGGTTCAAGATGACGACGATGGTTTGGAACATCCGATCGCCTATGAGAGCAAGAAGTTTAGCAAGACTGAGCAAAATTATCCTGCTCAAGAAAGGGAATTATTTGCTATCCTTCATGCTTTGCGCACGTGGCGATGTTTTTTGGACGGTACCAAGTATGTGGTATACACGGATCATTTGCCACTTCGGTACCTACGTTCGCAGAAGACTCCGACCCCTAGGCTGGTACGCTGGATTAACGAGCTGGAACTGTACGACCCCGATATTCAGTATCGACCAGGCAAACAACAAGTAGTACCAGATGCACTCTCTCGGATCGTTCAAGACCCTGACGATGACCATGATGAGAAGCCCGTAGTGCCCGAATACTTATACTTAATGGACACGGTGATGCCTGTGGTGCATGATACAGATTGGCCTCTTTATTACATGTACGCCGAAGAAGCCATTCCTGAGTCCGTACGAGAACAGCTGAAGGAAAATCGCGATACGTTTATGATCAAGGACGACGTAATCTACCACCGAAACGATGAACACTGGACCCGATTTGTTCCTTACATTGAACGTGCCGACCTGCTTGCTCGTTATCACCATTCCGTTGGACATGCCGGATTATCAACCATGTTACACGTATTACAACCCCGTGTATGGTGGCCCCAGATGAAGAAGGAAATCGAAGAATGGTTACAGCAGTGTCAAGAGTGTCAACTAGCCGGTAAACCTCAAAGATCTGTTCGCAAAGCGCCGATGCATCCTCTTAACGTCCCGGAACCGTTTGGACGATGGCATCTGGATTTCATTGGTCAATTACCTACGACTCGTCAAGGCAATCGTTGGATCATTGTTGCCGTGGATTATTTGACGAATTGGTCAATTGCTCGAGCTGTCCCAGTGGCGTCTGCAGCAGCGGTAGCAGACTTTTTGTACGAAGAAATCGTCATGCGCTTTGGTTGCCCCAAGGAGATTCTCTCGGATCGTGGTGCTGCCTTTATGTCCCAAATCTTGCAGCGATACACGAAACGAATCAAGGCAACGCATCGATTTACGTCGGCTTATCATCCTCGAACGAACGGAAAAGTCGAACGCTTGAATGGAACCCTGAAGTCGATGCTCATCAAGTACTTGCGTGGACGAATTCATGAATGGGATCAACACTTGGACGCAGCCGTATGGGCCTTACGTGTTCGTAAACACGCTACTACTGGACATAGCCCATTCTACTTGGTGTACGGTCGAGAACCTGTGCTCCCTGGTGACCCATTACGACCTTATCTAGCTGAACCTGATGTTCCTGTGGACCCGAACAGACCTTCTGAAGAGCTGGACAAGCTAGAATCAGCCCGTCAAGACGCCGAAACACAACTGAAGTCGCAAGCCGAACGTGACAAAGTTCGATGGGATGCTACGGTTAAGCCCATTACGTTCGAAATTGGTGACTTAGTCTTGTTGCGTGTGGAACAGAAAGTTGGATTGGAATTTTCATGGGAAGGACCTTATCGTGTACGACGCAAGAACGACGACAACGATGTTTATTTATTGGAAAGTCTCGATGGCGTGGTTCGACCTGATTGGATACATGTCGATCGCCTGAAGCAAGCAAACACAGTCGAACAGTTACTCGAAACGCGACCCTGGTTCGATGTGCGAACGTCCCGTTCCCAATGGCCTGCTGGTGCATTACGCGATTCGCCGCCATCTAACGACTTTCACGAAAAGGTTGACGCCATCGTGAACGAGCCCAACACTCACGATGCGCAAGAAATCGTTGCTCCCGAAAACCCCATGGTTGAAGATGCCGTCGAAACACCTGCCCTGCCAAATGACTCCAAAAATTCTATGGTTGACGAAGTTATCGATTCACCCGACGCAACAATCGATCAAGAGGATACAATCTGTGATGAAGATCTCGACGACACTGATATATCGACAGACCCGATGTCCCCAATGTCTCAGTCGATTGACCCTAACGAACATGACCGCTCGGATTATGAACCCGCTTTGGACTTCATGAACGATCCCGACATCACTGACGACGTGGTTTCCACCGAACTTGAAGATGTCCCCGCTATGTACGAAGCTGACACCGTTGAACCCACGGCAGTTAACGAAGTTCCACTGCAGACGACAGAACCGATCAAAGAAATGACTCCCTACGATACCGAGATGGCACCCTCATTGGATGAACCGTTGGAACAAGATCCTACGCTGGACGAACCCATCGATGCCCCTATGGATCTTTCTACCGTGCCACCTCCTGACCAGTATCACCTTTCTGACTCGGATGCCTCTTTCGATAACGAAGCCCGAGGACGGACTTCAGGCAAGAGGGGGGGTATTGTCAGTTACGCCGGTTCTTCTTTTGCGCCGATTAGATTTGCTATACCAAAGTTTAGCAAATACGGAAGACAGCGCATTGGCTCGTCCGCAGATCGATGTCTGGAGGAACCTTCGAGAAGGTATGAAGGACCAATGGATGAACGAGGCATACCAAAGGTATTGCCTGGAAAACGGAAGAAATATAGACCGAATCCGTTTAGCATTAAAGTGGTCCGTAATACTTCTTGATTGGTTATGTTTCGGAATAATAGAAAACCGTGCAGGAAGTTGACGAGAACCTTCCTGAAGATTGTAGACATAAAAATGATCTTGATAGAAAATATAAATATGACCATGTTATGGTAGAAATAAAGAATGAAAAAAACTACAGATTTAAACTGAACTCTAAAGGAGTACTCAAATCTGACAGTAATACTTCTTGATTGGTTATGTTTCGGAATAGTAGAAAACTGTGCAGGAAGTTGGCGAGAACCTTCCTGAAGATTGTAGACATAAAAACGTATCTTAATAGAAAATATAAATATGACCATGTTATGGTAGAAATAAATCAATCAACAAAACTACAGATTTAAACGGAACTCTAAAGGAGTACTCAAATCTGACACCTGTTCACGGAAGAAGCTTCAGCAAAAAGAAAAAATGGGAACTAGTCATGTATTTTTTACCAAGCACTTTCATTTTTTGTTAATTTAAAATTTATAGAATGGCTGTGTATGACTACATGCGCCGATGGTTTTCTTTGTCTTTGGTGGGGCAGCTGGAGGTGGGGTGGTTGGTGATGCCGCAGTAGGAACACAGATACAACTGTCGATGGTGACGCGGCTTTTCTTCAGATACAGATGGGGAGAATTTGGAGTATTTGTTTTCGTCGGGACACACCGATTGCGGATCGGACTTGTTCAAAGCTAAAGTGTGGTAAGAGGTGGATTTCGTCATAGACCGTTTCTGGTGCTGACATGTGTGAGCGCGATGGGATTCTTCGTGTTCACGGATATGCTTGTCAATTTCGATGGTCTTGGTCAAATAATCTCGAAGCGTAATAGGCATCTTGTGCGCAGCGAGTTCAGTTTTGAGTCGATGCGATAGACTTTCCCGAAAGATAGCAATCAATGCGGCTTCATTGAACTTGGTTCGCATTGCATACCGTCGAAAGGTGGTAGCGTGATCAATGATGGGCGAGGAGCTTTGGCGAAGATGCAACAGTTTATGTTCATAATTGACGGAATCATTCAGCTCACCAAATGCCGAGCGAAATTCTTGCAAAAAAGCCGGAAATGAGATCTTGTCTGGGTGCATCTCGTCGGAAACCATCTCGTCCAGATAGATTCGAGCCCAATCAAACGCATCGTCGGACATGAAGGAGCACATATAGCATATCTTGGCCAGTTCATCCCGGAACTGATCGCGATTCATAGCAATGGCGAGTTTGACGTGCGTAATGAAGCTGGCCACATGTTCCAATTTTCCCGTGAACATGGGTGGATCTTTCACGCGCAGTACCCGCTGCGAGTGGGCTTGGCGACCATTCATTGGTTTTTCCGATAATTTATCCATCGTACGTAAAAGGCTCATGGTTACTATTGAATTTTCGGACGGGTCTTCAATGATTTCTCTCAACATGATAGATGGACGTGAAACGCAATCAGGCAAAGAAAAAAAAGCAAAAGGAACCTGGACAAAGTTGTTTGAAAATTCCTACAGAAGACGCGGGATAACAGACGAAAAAGAAATGTAATATTTTACTTTGTTGCTCATGATACAGTTATAATGCCAGAGAAATGGAAAAATCGAATGATGAACCAATGTGAAAAATATGCCTAATTAGAAAGGAGAGACATAGCGCGCGCGCCATTTCATGAATCAAGAATGCAAAATTATAGGTTTTGTAAGCATTCAGATACCTGCGAAGCTTATCGTAGACCGCCTATTTACAAACCCCGAGATGAAGAAAAAGGGGAAGACGAAAATTTGCATGAAATAACCCGAGAAAATAGGAGACGAAAGAAATTGGGATATAGCTTAAAGTGAATCATTATATGACGAAAACTAATCTGACGACGACCATTCATCCTTTTTGTGTCGAGAATATAAGGTAGATTGTGAAGCAATAGTAAGTACACAGATGCATAATGAAATCATCTATAGGCTGTGGAGCTACGCGTGTTGAAATGGACACGGTTAAGCGATATACAACAAGCGGAACGAACTGGCACGGCCACGTGTCAGTCGAATTCCCAATGGGTGAGATCCGCAAGATCCGCAACTTACAATGGGTCAGATCCCCAAGATCCGCAACTCACAGTGGGCCAGATCCACAAGATCCGCAAGTCACAGTGGGTGAGATCCGCAAGATCCGCACATGCACAATGAGCCAAATCCGCAAGATCCGCAACTTGCAGTGGGTGAGATCCCCAAGATCCGCCCATGCACATGTTTTAATGAAATACTTGGGATTGGATGCCTGTTTAAATGGGCCATCAGAAATTGCTATTGAATCATTCGTCCAGTGATAAGACATCCTCCCATAGGAGCACCTGGTACTCTAAGAGCAGCAATTCGATCGATCACCGACGATTCTGCTCTTTTGGGGTCGCTGGTGTCTCGGGCAGAGAAAAAAAAAACAATTTCAAGTGAAGCAAATCAACCATGTGAAAATACGGCACAATATGCAACGGAACGCAAAGTTTCAAGCATGAAATTTATTGCGTTGGCACACCACTGGTACCCATTGTCAGCAACATGTCTAGACAAACAGCATTGTCAATAAAACAAATGAGGCAGACGGACGCAGTAACAGCGTGCGCAGCTTGCTTCTTCGGATGTACGTTTATGCTTCGTTTTTCACATAGACCGATTTATCTGTGGGACTGCTGAAAGCGCTTTGACAGAAAACACACAAATAATCAGATTTTTTTTTGCACATAAAGTCATAAGCTATATGTATAGTAATCTTTTTATTTAAAGAAAGGGAATGGAAAAAAAGCGCAAAGGGTACTAATGGGCGCAGTCAAGAAAGCCTCCAATACATACATACATGAAGAATAACGTATATAGAACAGAGGGATTACAAAGAGAAACAAATGGAGGCATACCAAAGTGATTGAAACATAGGGAAGCATGGAAGCGAGGGGTCCGGGGCATAAATTAATTTAAAAATGACAATTTGATCACAAAAAAAAAAAAAGATTAGTCATAAAAAGCATGGCATGAAGAGGGGAGGATTAGCAGTAGTGGCAGCAAGCGTATAGAATGATGGTCATAAGGGGCATTGCGTGGGTCGAGACGTCATGAAGCACGAAAATAATTAGTCGCAGTGACATTGGTCTTTAAGTTGATGATTCTCTTTCGATAAGGCTTCAATACGCTCGTCTCTTTCGTTGAGGGTGGTCTTTAACATGGTAATGTATTCATAGGCATAACGAAGAAGCAATACTTTGGACAACGGTTTCAATTCCTTGGCCGCCGGGCTTGAAGAACTGGCATAATGCTGATTATCATGACTGATCTCGTCGGTCTCATGCATAGAGACAGGCGAAGTCGAGGAATTGTCCGCGAGAGAAGTATCTTCATCATCGTCATCGTGCAAAGACTTGTGGTTGGCTTCACGTTCTTGTTCTCGAATCACTTTGGAAGTCAACGAGGCTTTTTTCTTCACGTAGCCTTCTTCAACTTCACAGCGTAGTCTTTCAAACCACAGCTTGAGTGAATCGCGCCGTTTTTGTTCAGCGGCTTTGTGAGCCGTACGTCGCGTTTCAATCCCGCTTCGGATCTGAGGCGAGAAAGCGATCCCGAGAGCGGCCGCTTTTCCTTCCATCAGGTTCTGATAGTTGGATCGAGTGGCCAAGATACGCTCGGCTTCCTGATTCGCATTCACCCCTGGTCCAAGGGTAGGACTGATCAGTAGCGGCTTCAATGCACGTGAGGAAGCGTAGGTCTGAGCCGCAGAGGATTCGCGACGGGTTCGTTTGGCAGGATGAGATTTGGTATGGGTGGAGCGATTCTCCTTTTTCCGCGCATGAGCTCTTTTTTCAGGTAATGCTTTCGATACAGAAACAGGAGAATCCCAGTCGGGCTGGGAATCCAGCGGCGGTGTCACTTGGGCTGACATTTTGGTCAATGGAAGTTTTTTATTGTTGTTACAAGGATTCACGACTCTCATTTTCATCAATGACGCAGGGGTCACTGGTGCAAGACAAGGCGATTGCCCTGGTGAAAGTGGAGCAGGGTTCGCGGAAAACGACGACGCAGGTCCATGGGCACGTTTCACGGAAGCCGATAACGGAGGGTTCTCCCCATAGCCCGTTCGAGTCGGCAATCTCTTTGTATCTGATTGGGTTCATAAGGATGTGGATCAGATTATTATATCCTCTTCCAAAAGGTACTGTGAAGAAAAAAAATACCTGAACTTTCAGCGGATGGCGACATTTGAGACTGCAAGACTGTATTGTTACTGGAAGGCCGAGGCGAGGTCTGTTCGTGGTGATCATCTTGATGCAGTTCGGAAAGTTTACGTGTGATCATACGTTTGACTTGTTCGAGCTGTTCATACTGCTGACAGATTTGCCCGGGGGTCAGCGAGCCAGAAAAACTGTGGCCAGACAAGGACGACATGCTTCGCTCGTGATATCGACGATCAAAATGAGGCATGATGGCAGGCGAAGTCAATGGGGAGAAGTCCAATTCGCATGGAGAAAACTTGGATTGCCCTTGAAACCCAAACGAAGGTGTCATGGCCGGCGAAATTAACGGAGTAAACACTTCTTGCTATTCAACGATTAAACGCAATATCAACGAAAGACATTGTTGGATCAGTATTCGAGTCAGCATTAAAGACAAAGCATATTGTTTTGAAAAAAAAAGTGTACCTCTTGTTCAGTGAGATCGGAACAGCTTGCATAATAGGTTGGAGTGAACTGCTGAGAAGAATAATGCGAAGTAGGATAGACAGTGTGGGTAGGTTGAGGTGAAGATTCACACATTTGCGTTGCAAAATTGATTTTTTGCGCCATTTCAGGTGCGGGAGCATGAAATGGCAAGAAAACGGACAGATCAGCGGTATGATTGGATGGAACAAAGAGGTCAGAAAATTCATTGAAACCCTGTTCCGGTGTCGGATCGATTTGAGGGAGCGATTTTTCCTGCAAGGAAGCCAGCACGTCTATGGAGTGAATGGCGTCCTCTAATTCAAAGTTGGACAGATCCATTGAGGCTGATGTGGGCAACTTGGAAGGAACGAAGAAAGGAAATGAATGCGATTTAAAAGGTTCGACTTCATCTTGATCAAGGGCTGAGGGGTGGGGGGGCGGTCAAAAAGAAAGGGCAAGTTCTCTGTGGGATGCAAAAGAATAGTCAAATCAAGGGCCGAATCCCAGAAACGTGGGCCCAGCTTTGTCAATTGAGCGGCTGCCCACAAAGTTACACGGAGGATTTTCTACGGCTCACAGTCACGACTTGCTCCACTTTGCCTGAAGGGATGATCGCCATCCATCCTTCCCATTGGTCGGATCAGTTTTAATCTTGATTACTTTTTTTTAAAAAAATATCAAACCAGATCGCCTGCGCTAACATGTCCCATCCATACCAACAAGACCTAAAAGGTGACCTTTTTTTTTGATTGAGAATTGCATATCGGACTTTGTAAGGGTCATTCACCCATCGTCAAGGTGGGGTGAGTGCATCATTTGCCAAGCCAACCCCATGGAACACGTTACTGAATTTTTATTCACCGTGGCAACCGTATCTCTCTATCTTGCAAAGTCAATCAATGTGGACAAAAGCCAGGACACAAATTTGAAAACAATGGATGGATATCAAATTGGTCACATCTCAACAACAGAGCTCTGATGATTTTCTATCTCCACATCCCAAAGGCGCTGCCAGACGTGATCAAAATTGCCATCAATAATACTTGAAGGGTCTATCATTCCGGTAAAATTCAATACTGGCATGCCCTGCAAAGAGTGATTTTGATCATAGTGATGTGAAATCAAAAAAGAAAAAAACACACCCAAGGTGTACAATAAAAAATAAAATAAAAAATAGGAGAGATGCACAAGCGATATTTATTGACATCGATGTCTGTTGCACGATAGAATGGGGTGATGTTACACTTGGAAAAAATGGATGCATAGAGCTTATTTGTCGCAATCTTGCTTGCCCACTCCTCAAAGGCGTAAAAAATTGAGGCTAAAGTCATAGCTTGTGATCCTTCCACCAACGTCTAAAAGGTATGGAATAAAATGTCCCTCTGTAAACACAACGTACATGGATGGTGCATGCTCTGAAGCAGCGAAAGCAAAAATTATGCCATCATTGTCACTTGTCCAAAGGAACATGGATATATTCACACGAGAAATTAAAGTTTACGTTCTAAAACTGTAATGGCAAATATGACAAACAATGCTGTTGTGCAGTTCATATGCCAACAATATTTGCAAAGGATCACTGCAAAATACAGACTATCAAGTTTTGATGGATAAATAGATGAAAGGCCGATATCACCTTTCTACGCTTATCACAGTTAGACTATTTTCCAGGGAGCTGCCAATTCGTCCTGTCATTTATCCATCAAATAGCGCATCAGAGAGCCTCCGCTTCAACTAGAGTTGTCCGCAGGTTACTTTTTTATTTTCTATGGCGACTGATCATGGATGCAAAAGAATTGAAGCGGAGTCGATTTCGTACAGTTTAATTGAAAAATTCTGGATAAAAATATTTACAAATCAAATTATAAAAAGAGACAAGGTAATGTAGTTAAGTTAAAGTTAATCAAATAAGAGAAAAAACCAAAGGACAAAGACATACAAAAAAGAAAGATGGGTGCATTAGACAAGCCACACTTACTCGTCTCTTGTTTTTACTTACAAGAAATCTGTTGTCACCACACTGTGGGAGCCGCCACCGCACACCGCCAAGGCATGGGCTTTGTACAAGTTCTTAAACTGTAGAAGCACACACAACAAGTGAGTGATTCGGCATAACGTTCAAAAAAGTAAGGGCACTTGAGCACAAATACATTACCTTGCCAAAAAAAAGCTTTTATTGTTGCCGTCAAAAAAAAAAAAAGGGTTTCGGCGCGCAAGCCATATGTAGAGGTTCAGTCGTTTTGATATCACAGTTGTGGTCATCATGAGTATACGTACAGGATGAGTGATTTGAGCAAAATTGATAAAATAAGCAATGAGAATATATATCGCGATAGATGGGTGGTTTTTCGCAAGAAAAGAAAAAAGAAAATAGATGAGCGATGAAGAGGAAATAAAACGGATGGAAGATGCGTCGTTTTTCATAGACATGAAAGAGGCGATCCCTCGACTGTAGCTAAAACCTTTATTGTCCAATAATCAAGCAAGAAAAAGACGCCATGTGTCTTTTCTCATCGCTTCACGTCATATTTATCCATTGATAACAAAATGTGGCCTCATCGCATGAAATAGCTGCATGAAGTAGGTCTCAGATAGGTACGCTTAAAGATCGATCGGGATGTCATTATTCAAGTGTCCATATATCGGCCGGTCGGATACATAGGTGCAGGTGCACATAGCTTTGGTACAGAAGTAATGACTGGCACGTTAAACTATCTTTCACCTCGTGTGATAAACTTTATTGAAAAATAGAAGTCATCCTCGAGAAGACGACCTCTCTTTGATAATAAAGTCAGTTTCAGCGAAATTCCCCATTAGATTACGCAGTTATTCTACAAAGCCAAAGTAATATGAAGGATCCACCTCACTCCCGCCAATAAAGGGCCAAGTCATGATTTTTTGTTTCCTTGCAATTTATTTTATTATCATTTCTTCATTTTCCGAGAAAAGTGTATTGAAAGATGAAAATAAACATTAGAAAAGTCAATGAATTCATCGGGATTACTTAGGTTTTGCCAGGGCACTGTTATGGCAAGAGATGAGAAAAAAAAAAGCAGTCAGGGCACACGAGGACGAAGCTCAGACAATCACCATGGCAACCGGGTGAATCCAACAAATATTACCGCAGCACTGAAAAAAAATATTTTTTTATTTTTCAGAAAACCAATCAAGGATACCATCATCGGCATCAATTGAAAATCCTCATTCCACATCAAATGATGTATGCGTCCCGCAACCAGGAATTCGTGAATTCAAAAAAGCTTATCCATTTCGGGGATGTCCCGACTCTCTTGAGACTCCACTCGCAATAAAATAAATTTGTGTTTTTTGCTCACTTTTTTATTCCTCTTTGTCTCCTCTCCCTCATTGATCCTTTTTCTTTTTTCATTTGTTTGCTTTTCTTTTTCTTCTTGACACTTCTTCTTCATTGATCTTTCACTTACATACATACATCATACATACAAATGAATCAACATGCATCAGTTCCTCCAGCTTCATTATTGTCCATGCTGCAGTTTTTCCAATCGCCTGTCAGGTAAAGCCACACGTTTGCATGACACCAAAAAAAATGATCTCAGGGTGACCCACGATAGCCTGACCGTTCATTGTCCATGTTGCTCACCTTTTTTTTATCAATTTCTTGTCGTTTTATCCTCATGCCAGGGATCTAACCTTTGCTATGCCTATCCCTGATGAAAACTATACTCCGCTATGCATTGAGCCTAAAAAAGTTTTCAAAAGCCACAAGCCATCCTCGCCTCCTCTTCAGTCGTCAACCAATACCCGCTTGGCCTCGTGTTCCAAAGTCACTGGACCTCGTAACATGGAACAAGCACTGTCCTACCGAAAACGATCCCAGCGAAGTGATCCCAACCGTCGACGGATAAGAAAACACGCCACCCGCCCCCAACCCAAACAAGCCAAGACGGTCAAGATGACCGTCGATGAATTAAAGGCCCTCAGTCGGCAGATCGATTTGGGAAAATTATCTGCACCCAAAAACACAAACATCCATACTAGCATTTCTCATCATCATGATACCTCCTCCCTCATCCAACTTTGTTCGCCCGATGGCGAGACCACCCATGCATCCGATCTTCCACCTTCCTCCATTCCCTATTCCGCCGCCGATATCCTGTATATGAGTCGATATTTGCGAGCCAATCTATCCATGGCCAAGTACAATATGATGGCCAAGCTAAGTCAGTCCACCGATTCGGAAGACATGCAAGTGTATGAACGACTACGTACATGCATCGTTCCCTCCGTTTTGGACACCGTCATGGACGCTCTTATCTCGCCTCTACTAGAATCCAAGGTTTGCTTTCGTTTTCCTTTTTTCTATGTTTTGCGCAGATCCTTTGCTCTCCTTGGTTTGCTAACCAGAAAACAAAAAACTTCATTCGTGAATACAAACAGTCATTGAGTGATGATCTGTCACAACATTCTTCCTCCCATCCATCCTCTCCCTGTACTACACCTTCACCGACTGCCGTGAGCGCTCCGTTACTGCACCAAGACATTTTCATGAGCCCACTATTTGAATATGACGATCTCGACAAAGGCGATCCTTTTTCGTTGTATACTGCTCCTGTGGCGACGACTGATGCAAATCAGGATTCCACAGCAGTGGATTACGGGGGACCTTTGCCGCTTTCGGAGAATGCATTTTCTCGCAGCGATCTTCCAATGGATCATCACAAATATGGTGCTTGGATTATGGACGAACCTTCCATCGATCACAGCTAACTCATCACCGAACCGTTTTTTTTTTTTTTTTTACTATAGCAACAATCTGAATTCACATTTATGCATAAACAAAACAAAACAAAACAAAAAAGACGAAAATAAGGATAATGCAAACACAACAATATGACTTTTTTTTTTATGGTATTGATTGCGTTTTTTTTTATTTGTGTCTTTGCAAACTTGTGAAATCTTCAACAGCGGTATGAATTTTTTATCTCTTGTGGTATAAGCATGAAAAAAATCGTGGAATGATGGGGATTTACATGTGATTAGCCTAACCAAGTACATCATGGCAAGGTGTCACCACGGTAAAAGCATAAGGACGCGGAGAATGAGACAGAAGCCAATCTATGGTCAATACAGCATGCTTTCCAAGGCGAAACGTTTCTCGCTGTGTACCTCTTTTTTATTTGTCGGTCCATTCCATTGGCAAGGTAGCAGTAGCCCTTTTGATTCATATCCAAGCTAGTCTGTGCTACGGCCCGGAGAATATCAAGGTGACAAGTGTGTTGCATTCATGGATACGATAAAAACAACATTCAAAATGCACAGCGGAGAAAATAGAACAAGTAACATTTTCCGCAGCTCAATATGTGAAAATGGGGGAACCATGATGTGGGTGCAGGATAATAATAGCAACTTCATTAACGATGGATGCTAATTTGTTTTTCGGTGATACTTGGTTGGTGAGAAAGTACATTGGATGATTAATGAAATAAACTCGAGGAATCCGCCTTGTTGCTTAGTGAGTTGTCTACCCATAAAATGGGGAGGACTTGAGGAGTTCCTTTCGTAAAATAGATTTCCTCCGATGATGTGACGGGGCGTTTCAGACAGTGGATTGAACAAGATAGATTCTAATGCTACCCGATCCGTGAAGTGAAAGATGATCTAGGTCGAGTGCCCTCCCATTTAAATGAAAAAAGAACGTTCATGTGTTAAGCTTATATGGCATGGTTTGCGATCTTGGTGCGACAGTGAACATGACACATAGGCAGCGGAAAGCCAAAAGGATTGGGGTTGACCTCCCACATAAGGAAAAAAAAATTCAAAGCAGGGACAGCATGGTTTAACTAGCGCCAATTTTTTTTTTGGCCCTTTCGATTACTGATATTCCACATCTTTCTTTTCTTATCCTGTCTTTTTTTTTCCTTTTTCCTTTGTTCATATGCGAACGTCTCGTGTCAGAATCACATCGTTAGTGGTTCTTTCGCCTATCCTTCTCATCGCGTTATCGCTGACAACCATATTCACCATCGCCATTGTCTCTCAACTCAAACAATGGTGCGGCATTTACAGTAAACCGATGGTTATGCATCACCGGTCCATGAGCAGATTCGCCACAGCGGCCACAACCGCAACGACCACGACTACCGTCACGTACCCCCACACTAGCCCATTGCCATGGTCCGACAGCTCACATAAAGATCGAACACTGTGGCGATATTCGCCCTGGACATATGTCATTGGCTCAATTGTTTTAACCGTTTCTTTTCAAAAGGTAAATAACCATTCATTTCCTCTTTTACTATTTTTGGGGATCCACCCGCGTAAAAGTATAAAGTGGCCTGGGGATCGCTCACTCCGCCTGAAAAAAAAATTATTTGAAAAAATCTGCATTGGGCGGCAAAATCAACTACCGAAATGGAGAAAAGAAAAACATGCCAGGGGAAGAAAGGATTAAATGACCATGGAGACAGCAGGGAGAGAAAACAAAAAAAAAAAATGACGACCAGTGCCAGTGCCTTCCTTTTTTTCTTGGCTGGTTGATCAGAGATGCTTACATCTAATTTTTTTTTTCTGACACAGCTTAATGTGGAAAAATATCAATCGATTCAACGACAGCTCATCCAGACCATTCGTGCTTGTCGGAATAAAATGGCGGAGCTCGTGAAATGGCATCATCCCCAGCCGCCAACAGCCGATGCCGATGCCGACGCTCCAATAATCAACAAGAAACACAAAAAGCCAAAGAAGAAGCAACGGATACCCGCGGATCATCACTATTTGAAAGCTTCACCGGTGGCCATCGAGCGCTCCCAGGAGGAGAGCTCTGATCATTCATCGGCGATCCTTTGTACTCCGCCCTCTCTCGGGAATCCGGGATTACATGTAAATAATAATATAGCCCTTCTTGCTGCGGATACGAATACAGACGCTTCCACGGATAAAGCGCTAGATGAAGATGCTCTTCCTGGTAACACGAATCCACCCATTTCCCTCCCCACCGAAACACACTCCACCAATAAGGGAGCGTCCCCTGTTCCTGCCCGGATATCCACGCACTACCATGACAAAGCAATTCACACCGATATGCCACCGGAAGAAAAAGACAACTCATCCACTCTTGTCAGCAGCGATGATGAAGGTACAGATATAAGTTCGCCTTCTTTGTTATCAGAGGACCCGCCTACGTTTGCTCAGCAACCATCACATCATGGTTTAAAGTGTCCAAGTCGATACTCGCTCTTTTCGACAGGGTTGGAATTGGATATCTTACCCCGACATGATCTGTTGAGCTCTGGCTATGATCCGCTTTCGCGATACACTTCATCCTCTCCTGCTGCTTTTTCATCCGTATATCCTTCGATCACCCCGCCTTTTGATCCCGTTCTTTATCCTCCTCAATCGTCGTCCAACCTGACCTTTCTTCAATCCCACCCGTTTGTGGGACGGCATAATCCCCTCCACAGTGAACCTCATCCGCTCGGTCCAATTGGCCCACATCATCACCACCACCACCACCACCACCACCACCCTTCCTCTATTGAGTCCTGCTCCCCTGTCAATGATTCACAATCCATGCATGTGCTGTATCGAAAGAATCATTGTATGAATATATAGTTAAAAAAAAGATAGTAAATATTCCTGACTAAATTTTGTGACAGGAACAAATATTGCTTTTTGATTTAAACATTTCTATGTGCTCATTTGATGTTTGTTTCAAAAGAAGGGAAGATAGTTAATTGCAACTACCGGGTCACCGAGTCTAATGAATCCCTCAAGAACCTACCTGAGCCTAAGAGCAAAATATATGACCACTTACCCAAAGTTTGTGCCTCGGAACAGTGCCGAGAGAGCTGATATTTTAGGCCTCGATGTACCTATGGAGCGATTTCATTTTCTGGGATCAGTGGGTCATTGAAAGCCGGATTTTTAGGGGAGAAAGAAAAAAATCACCCAAAGCACCCGATCTGCTAAACGCTTCTAATAATACCAAAGTCGTAGTGAAAACTTTTTTTTGTTTTTGCTTTTTGCCTTTTTTCGAAAAAGTAGAAGTAAGTCTGGTCCTTATGTCAGTAGATCAGGACAGTTGGAATTTCCCGAGGATGGGTCCTTGTTGCCAGAAGGAAACCAAGTGGGCGGGACATACTACGGAGTGCCATGTAGCCACTAGTCAACGCCACATGCTCAAACAATCGACATTGCGTTGTCAAATGTTATATTCGGGAATCAGGATGTGGATTTGCCTTACAATGTGGATATCTTTGGGATCGTCTGTCTTCCAACTACATGGATCAACTTTTTCACTCAAATACGTTGCCTTTTTCATTCAATCTTAGCCGAATGATGCCATTCTTCGTGTGACGTTTCTTTACTTTTGACAACTTTATCGTTTATGTCTTCCTTGTAATTCATATTTATAGCTTATCCTGTAATGCTGTAGATATTACATGACACAAAAACTTTTACACATTAGGTCTCCACATAGTTTAATTGCAATGATTAGCGTCGAAAAACAAACTGATTAAGTGATTACTTCCGTATGACAAGGTAATAAAAAAACCGAAATGAAAATAGTATCGGTCATAAAAAGAATTAGCATTAGAGAAGGAGTAGAGGTACGTCAGATATCCTGTCGACAGATTTGTACAGGACTAAAAAATAAAATAATACCTATGGGCTTCCTGCACGGGCATAACATCTACTACCTATATGCGAAAAAGGTGACGATATGTGGATTCGTCAGTGTAACCATCTCGCTTTTTTCTCATACACAACGTTCAAACATCAATTTGAAAGCGAAAAGATCGATGAGAATCTCATTATGTAATTCATACAGCAAGCCGGTTGATCCAGTTTCGGAAACATTATTGACGCAAGATTGATTGTATATACACGATCTCATAGACGAATAATCATAATGATAAAGAAAGGGGATGGTGATGAAACCTGTTACGCTGTGTGATCATCGGCAGTGCTGTAAGTAGATTGAAACATCAGATCCCCCAACTGATGGATCCATAGCCTTGAGCGATTTGTCCAGAGTAACTCCATGATAATGCTTTTATTCCAGGAAACGACCGTTGTAGGATTCACCATCACCTCTCGTGTGCGGTAAAAAGTCCAAGCGGGATTGTTGTCGAACTTGACGTAATTTATCAGGTTTTCCACAAGTGCAAGACCACATACCGGGATGCCTTTTGGCAAATGCCGAATTACCAAACAAACGCATTTTGCCAACTTTGTGAGTCGGGTGATGGATAATGCTGGCCTCCTTTCTTCATGCTCGCTGGCATATGCAGAAGGAAATCCTGGGAGCTGAAAAGCTCTATCTGGAAGCTTGCCTGGATCAGGTACCTTCCCAATGTAAACAATGATGTCTGTTCGGTCTAAGGATTCTACTCAATGTCCAACCCTATTTTTACTGTGCGTTGCAATTGGTGTCTTCAAGCTTCTCATTTGGAAGTAGCAAAACATTCTCGTTCGAGTCTTGTTTGCTCTTTGTACTTCTGCTGTATTACCGCCCTTGTCTCTCCCTCAACCCCCCCCCCCCTTTTTTTTTCTTTTGCCGTGCAATTGATTGCTTGATGCTTCCCACAGGTCATATCCGAAAAGCGATCAGTTTAACAACCTGTTCAAAAGAACACCAATACTTTGGATTCGAAAGCAATGACTGATATATTGATTCATTATTGAGTTACTTGATAAATCATTACCACATTCCTTTATTGTGCATGAAGGTGACACAAAAGTACGACCAACAAACTGGATATAAGAAACTCAAAAACAATGAAATATCACCTTGCATATGGTGTCAGACCTCAGTACCAATCAAAAATGCACAAATATTCGCCAAATCAGAACCGACATCAGGACTGTCTCTCAGACATGGTTTTGAAAAAGAAAGAGCCAAATATAAAAAGCCGGAAGTTCTTCACTCAATTTCAACATCCACCTTCTTCCCATTTCTCTCTACTTTGAACATCCCGCTCCAGCCACCCTCTTTTTCACGGCCAATTAATCCCGCCATTATCTGTTGTGCTCGTCGACCATCAGGGTCTTCCCATGGAAATTTGGTCTCCCTCTTTTTACGCTGCTGCGATGGTCCAATAACCGGCTAACATTCTCTTTGAAGCTTGTGACCGAAGCATGCCTGGGCCCATGTGCTTAAACTATCCAGATGGCCAGCACCTTGGGTGTGGGCGGTGAAAAGAAGCAGCGAAAATACTCGGTTTTATAAATGGTCCAGGCACGTCGGCCAACACGGCAGAAGATCCGGGTCTAACCGCCTCAACCCACCCCGTTTGCCTCACCGATGGTGTGACCCATTATTCGTACGGTCGATTGGTGGTAAGTACTAAGTATTACAGTTGTCAATTTCACAAGTGTGCTGATCAGCATATTTTAAAGCAAGGGGAAGATTATCGCTCTGCTCGTGGTATTTATGGCCTGAATGTATCAGAGAAGATCCGAATGGCTGCCCATGGCTACTCTCCTTGGTTTGCTCCCGGCACTGTGGAGAAGCTTACCCCGCGTCGCGTTGATGAAAGGCGGTCTTGACTCTGTCGGGTTTACCCAAAAAGCTGAATACTCAGAGGTTTGGCAGCGAGATGTCAACATTCAGTTGTCAGCCGCCCACGTTGACTCTCGGGCCCAGGTTAGTAAAAAGGAACTCTTTTCAACATGCTTGGAACTCGAAGCTCAACTCTTTTTTTTTATATTTAGCTGGCGTCGTCCCAATGTAACTGCCTATCGCCCTATTTTTCGATGCCCAAGTCCCGATTTCCGATCGGTTTTGACTTGAGGAGAGACGTTGTCTTTTACCACAGGAACAACTGTGACAGTTGCTCGCTAGAGCACTGGTGTATGGATTGTGCATGAAAATGTCTTGACAACTAATATGTCCATATTGCGTTCTGCTTTGCAGATGTTGTTTCGCCTAATCTCGGATGTCTGCGTTGTGTACTGTACTTTTGGGCAGCGACTCTGTAATTTGGTTGAAGGTACCCTATGATGGTACTTCCCTGACATTGAGGCGCGGGATATGTGTATTTGTCCGACTGCGACTCCGTAACTTGGCTTGAAACCCGTATGATTGATTACTGCGGACCCATATACTATATGGAAGCGACCCTTCGAGGGTGGCGGGAACCGAAGCAGAGCACCTCCACGTGGTGGTTCCTGGGAACTACTCTGCAAAAACAGAGTAGGCTAAGACTCTGCACACTGTAAATTTTTTTATTCGATTTCAACAATAAAGTATACATTTTCTCTCGTCCATCTCTGATATAGAAACTATACTCTTTTTCTTAAAGCCTTCAGCGATTTGAGCAACCATAGGAGTTTTGGATACAAGATAGTAGAACGCATCGAGAACTTTCACTCTTTCTTTTTTATTTTAATTTTACGAATTTCACTATCTGAAAGCTCTATTATTGAATCATCCTTCAGCTTACGATCCCTATTGCATGCTATCAAATTTCGTCCCAGTCAGGGAAACTGGAAGAATACAGAACAATTTCATGTGCAGAATTTTTGATTGAGTGTCGATGCCAGACATAAGCGCATACAAAGAATACAGGAATGGCGCTCCATCTAGGGCACTTTACTCACATATTGATGTTTATATTCTGTAACCCAAACGTCAATTGCCATATCTTCATCTTGGCCGTCATTTGTGGCGAATGGCAGAGGCAGCTCAGCTTCATTTTTGTGTACGAGAATTGGAAGCTCCGATTTAACTTGGCAAACGGAGCTCTACCGAAATTTCTACCTGTGCAAAATGCCTGTGAGCTTTTTCCTGGTTTTCTTTCATTCAACTAAAAGTAACCATGGCTTCCGAAAAGCAGAAGATGTTATCTGGACAACTGTACTGTCCTTATGATTCCGAATTGGATGCTGACCGTGACCGGGCTGCTGAATTGCAGGAGAAACTCAATGTCATTCCCGATGCCGAATCTCGAAGAGAGGTAGTGCTGCAGTTATTAGGTCATGTCGGTAAAAACTCCAATGTGCGTCCCACGTTCCGCTGCGATTACGGTTACAACATTTCCTTGGGCGACGATGTCGATATCAACTTTGACTGTGTGTTCCTCGACGTTGGAAAAATTACCATCGGTGATCGCTCCGTATTCGGACCTGGCGTCCATATTTATGCTGTCAACCATCCATTGGACCCTGAAGAGCGAAAGAAACAACTAGAGTATGGTAAAGACGTCAAGATCGGTACCGATTGCTGGATTGGTGGTCGTGTTACTATCTGTCCTGGTGTGACCATTGGCAACGGTGTTACGGTTGGAGCCGGTGCTGTGGTGACCAAGGATATCCCGGACAATGTCGTAGCATTCGGCAATCCTGCCAAAGTGGTCAAATCCGTCGTCGATAACTAAGAACGAGACATGACTTGCAGACAAAACATGCAATCCAGATAGAATATCCAAAGGATAGACAAGATTTGTTATCAGAGCACGCCGTGTCATTTACAGACACATCCATTGTGTTTTGTACTCTTTCCCGCCCATGATGCATGAATATCGCTGTGTCACATCGGATTTCCTTCTTTCTGTTGCCTCAACCAAGATATTCTACAGTTACGTAATAAATCCATCATCTCTTTAGAGGTCACATAACTGCAATCCATTATTTTTTGGGGGGAGGATATGCACAGACGAGAACCTGCCGCTTAACAAGGAATAGATTTATCTATATAATTAAAATCTTTGAAAATTAGCAATTTGTAAATCACATGACTTGCACACTAAGCTATCGGAACCTTTTTTTTTGTGCCTTCTCTCTTCAGAACCTCTTATTATTCTTTTTTTTTTTGTGCCTTCTTTTCTTCTTCAACTACACTAAGCTATCAGAACTTCTTAATATCTTTTTGCAATACACCAAGTCATTAGAATCTCAATTCTTTCGATTGGTGCCTTTTTTTTTTTGTTCATCTTTGAACCATGCCTCGCTGCCCATCTTGCAACGGCAACGATCACCAGCGTTCTACCAATCGTCGTTGCCCAAATTTCTCTCCACGAAACACTACTATAAATAATGGGCGAAACAATGAGCAGCAAAATGCGGTTTGCACCAGTTGTGGTCAAACAGGACATCGTCGTCGCTCAAACCGCCATTGTCCCCTTCATAATCAAGACGGAAATACAGAAAATTTCAATTCTAGGCCCAATGTGGCTCGCGATCCCAATGTCTCGATGCCAAATCTTCATAATGTAGGAGCCATGAATGTCATCTGCAGCCACTGTCAGGCACGAATGTGGAGTGGAGAAAAAATTGCTGGAAGTACTATGAATGATCCTAAGTTTCAGCTCTGTTGTGGAAATGGTCAATTTGTACTTTCTCCTCTCAAACCCACCCCTCCTTTGATTGCCTTGCTTTTGACAGGGACTGGGGCGCAAGCAAAAGATTTCCGGCTCAAGATCAGAGCTTATTGTAGTGCTCTCAGTTTTACTTCTCTTGGTGTAAATTTAGACGAAAGTGTAATGAATGGCAGACGGGGCGCTTACTGCTTCCGTATTCATAGAAGTGTACCACTTGATGGGATTGCTACTTCCTGCTAATGGCCAACGACCTGCATTTGCACAAATATACGTCCATGATACTGACAACGAAATATCAAATTGACATGCAATTGCAAGCCATCTCGCGCGAGACACCTTGGAAGTACTTCAGCAATTAATGCATGAAACCAATCCTTTCGTCCATCTTTTCAAGACAATGGCCCAATACATAGAGGATAATGGTGGTGCTTCCAACATCAGACTGATTATTCGAGCTGACGATGTCCCAGATCCACGACGCTATAATGCACCAAATGCTTCTGAAATTGGTGTCATTATCGGTGAAAACGCAGAGGCCTCTGGAAGGGATATTGTGATCTGTAGGCGTAGTAACCAACTGACATCAATCAGTGAGATGCATCGCCTGTATGACCCACTCCATTACGTGCTGATGTTTCCTGAAGGCGACCCTGGGTGGAACATTGAAACTCGATCGACCAGAAACGACAGAGTCACCGTGATGAACTACTACAGTTTCAGATTGATGTATCCAAATGATGGACACCACTTGCACCTCTTTGGCCGACTCTTTCAGCAGTATATCGTAGATATGTATGCCAAGATGGAACAAAACCGCCTCAATCACCTTCGCCTCAACCAGTCCCGACTGCGTGCTGATGTGTATTCAGGCGTACAAGATGCTCTCCAACTTGACGACAACAATATGAATATGAATTCCATCGGTCAGCCTGTCATCCTTCCGTCGTCATTCATTGGCAGCCCTCGAAACATGCAACAGCTGTACCAAGATGCAATGAGTATCGTCAGATGTTTCGGAAAGCCTGACCTCTTCATTACATTCACGTGTAATCCAAAATGGCCAGAAATTCGGAATGAGCTTCTTGCTTCACAGACAGTATCTGATCGGCCAGATTTGACAGCACGAGTTTTCAACCTCAAGCTCAGAGCTCTTTTGAAGGATCTAACAAAAAACCATACACTTGGAAAAGTAATTGGCTACGTTTATACCGTCAAGTTCCAGAAAAGAGGATTGCCTCATGCGCATATTCTACTCATTTTAAAAGAAGCTGATAAACCTGTGACGCCAGAGCACTACGATTCTATCGTATCGGCGAAGATACCTGATCCACAGCAGTTCAAATGAACATTTCACCAAAAATATAGTATACCCTGAGTTTACCAATAAATATCCCCAATTGTGATCTTGAAGATCACGGGCTCCACCTGCGCCCTCTACCTCATACGTTAGAACTGGCACACCTTCATGCCATTCTAACCACACCCATGGTAGCATACCCTGAGTCTACCAATAAATATCCCCAATTGTGATCTTGAAGATCACGGGCTCCACCTAGTCTATATAATTAAAATCTTTGAAAATTAGCAATTTGTAAATCACATGACTTGCACACTAAGCTATCGGAACCTTTTTTTTGTGCCTTCTCTCTTCAGAACCTCTTATTATTCTTTTTTTTTTGTGCCTTCTTTTCTTCTTCAACTACACTAAGCTATCAGAACTTCTTAATATCTTTTTGCAATACACCAAGTCATTAGAATCTCAATTCTTTCGATTCTTTCGATTGGTGCCTTTTTTTTTGTTCATCTTTGAACCATGCCTCGCTGCCCATCTTGCAACGGCAACGATCACCAGCGTTCTACCAATCGTCGTTGCCCAAATTTCTCTCCACGAAACACTACTATAAATAATGGGCGAAACAATGAGCAGCAAAATGCGGTTTGCACCAGTTGTGGTCAAACAGGACATCGTCGTCGCTCAAACCGCCATTGTCCCCTTCATAATCAAGACGGAAATACAGAAAATTTCACCAATGTGGCTCGCGATCCCAATGTCTCGATGCCAAATCTTCATAATGTAGGAGCCATGAATGTCATCTGCAGCCACTGTCAGGCACGAATGTGGAGTGGAGAAAAAGCTGCTGGAAGTACTATGAATGATCCTAAGTTTCAGCTCTGTTGTGGAAATGGTCAATTTGTACTTTCTCCTCTCAAACCCACCCCTCCTTTGATTGCCTCGCTTTTGACAGGGACTGGGGCGCAAGCAAAAGATTTCCGGCTCAAGATCAGAGCTTATTGTAGTGCTCTCAGTTTTACTTCTCTTGGTATAAATCTAGACGAAAGTGTAATGAATGGCAGACGGGGCGCTTACTGCTTCCGTATTCATGGAAGTGTTTACCATTTGATGGGATCGCTACTTCCTGCTAATGGCCAACGACCTGCATTTGCACAAATATACGTCCATGATACTGACAACGAAATATCAAATCGACATGCAATTGCAAGCCATCTCGCGCGAGACACCTTGGAAGTACTTCAGCAATTAATGCATGAAACCAATCCTTTCGTCCATCTTTTCAAGACAATGGCCCAATACATACAGGATAATGGTGGTGCTTCCAACATCAGAATGATTATTCGAGCTGACGATGTCCCAGATCCACGACGCTATAATGCACCAAATGCTTCTGAAATTGGTGTCATTATCGGTGAAAACGCAGAGGCCTCTGGAAGGGATATTGTGATCTGTACGCGTAGTAACCAACTGACATCAATCAGTGAGATGCATCGCCTGTATGACCCACTCCATTACGTGCTGATGTTTCCTGAAGGCGACCCTGGGTGGAACATTGAAACTCGATCGACCAGAAACGAGAAAGTCACCGTGATGAACTACTACAGTTTCAGATTGATGTATCGAAATGATGGACACCACTTGCACCTCTTTGGCCGACTCTTTCAGCAGTATATCGTAGATATGTATGCCAAGATGGAACAAAACCGCCTCAATTACCTTCGCCTCAACCAGGCCCGACTGCGTGCTGATGTGTATTCAGGCGTACAAGATGCTCTCCAACTTGACGACAACAATATGAATATGAATTCCATCGGTCAGCCTGTCATCCTTCCGTCGTCATTCATTGGCAGCCCTCGAAACATGCAACAGCTGTACCAAGATGCAATGAGTATCGTCAGATGTTTCGGAAAGCCTGACCTCTTCATTACATTCACGTGTAATCCAAAATGGCCAGAAATTCGGAATGAGCTTCTTGCTTCACAGACAGTATCTGATCGGCCAGATTTGACAGCACGAGTTTTCAACCTCAAGCTCAGAGCTCTTTTGAAGGATCTGACAAAAAATCATACACTTGGAAAAGTAATTGGCTACGTTTATACCGTCGAGTTCCAGAAAAGAGGATTGCCTCATGCGCATATTCTACTCATTTTAAAAGAAGCCGATAAACCTGTGACGCCAGAGCACTACGATTCTATCGTATCGGCGGAGATACCTGATCCACAGCAGTTCCCATCTGCTCATGCAACTGTCACGAACCATATGATGCATGGCCCATGTGGAATAGCAGCCTCGCATCCATCGCCATGCATGGAAAACGGTCGGTGCACAAAGCACTTCCCGCGTGCATTTCAAGAAGAGACAACGTGCAACGAAAATGGGTATCCTCTGTACCGAAGGCGCAATGACGGAAGAACCGTACGCAAAAATGGGATTTTACTTGACAACCGATGGGTTGTGCCGCATAATATTTACCTCTGCTCGAAATATGACGCACACATCAATGTCGAAATATGCACAACCATTAAATCAGTCAAGTATATCTACAAATATGTCTTCAAAGGACACGACCGTGCATCCGTTGTACTCCAGCCCGAAAACCATGATGAAATCCGTCAGTATCTTGATTCTCGGTACGTGTCAGCGTCTGAAGCCTGTTGGAGAATCTTTTCATTCTCTATGCATCACGAGTTTCCAGCACATCAAAGACTTGCAGTACATCTTCCAGGAGAAGAGATAATTTTTTTCCATGAGGATGAGAGTCCTCAAAATGTTGCAAGCCGCCGACCTTTGACGACATTAACAGCATGGTTCGAAACAAACCAGATTGATCCATCAGCAAGAACCATCTTATACTCTGATTTCCCAAGACATTACGTTTGGAATACAAGTGGAAGAAGAAGATGGACAGTTCGTGTTAGAGGACACAATACTGTTATTGGGCGCATATATAACATCTCGCCGCGGCAAGCGGAAAAATATTATCTTCGCCTCCTTCTCTATCATGTTCCTGGAGCAACTAGCTTTGAGGATCTGCGAACGGTCAACGGCCAACTTTGTTTGACATTCCAAGAAGCTGCACGCAGGCGTGGATTGCTTACCAACGATAACGAATGGGACCACTGTTTGGAAAATGCCGAGATCTATCAAGCACCCAGCTCCTTGAGGATGCTATTTGGCACAATTTTGGCTTTCTGTGAACCGTCTGACCCTTACGCACTTTGGCTTCGCCACAGACAACATATGGTGGAGGATCATCTCCATGCTGATAGAATTGAACAGAATGATGCATCTCTGGAACCAACAGAAACAATGTACGGACGCTGTATCATGGATATCGAGGATTATCTGCAATCACAGTCATTGTCTTTGCAAAATTTTGCTGGATTCTCTCTTCCTGAGGTTGATAGCCGTCCAACTTCCATATCTTTACCACGTCTACCACGTTTAGTTCAAGAACAGCTGTCACTTAACGAAGAAGCACAAAGGTTACCAAACCCAGCCAATCTGGACTTTAACCATGACCAGCAGATCATCTTTGACACTATCATCCGTGCAGCTGACGATGCATCACCAAGGAGCAAGCTATATTTTGTTGATGGACCTGGAGGAACTGGAAAAACATTTTTATTCAATGCCCTACTTTCCCATGTCCGTCGTAATGGAGAAATTGCTTTAGCCGTCGCATCCAGTCGAACAGCTGCTCTTCTTTTGGATGGTGGTCGTACCGCCCATTCACGGTTTAAGATACCATTGACTACGCACGAACATTCCTTTTGTAACGTGTCTCACAGAACGGAGCTTGCCCATTTACTGAAACTTACTAAGCTAATCATGTGGGATGAAGCATCGATGATAAACCGGTTTGCATTTGATGCAGTAGATCGAACATTTAGAGATCTCTTCAAAGCTGAAAACCCACGTCTGGAATCCGTACCGTTTGGAGGAAAGTTGGTAGTGTTTGGAGGTGATTTTCGACAAGTCCTGCCTGTGGTTCCCCGAGGGTCGCGTCCCGATATCGTCAATATGTGTATCAACCGCTCTGCTTCTTGGGCGCATGTGCAAACATTACGCCTGACGACCAATATGCGAGTTCAGAGACCACAACAAAACGAAAGTCCACAGGAACTTCAACAGTTCAGTGAATACTTGCTACGTATCGGTAATGGGACAGAGCCTACACGCTTGAATACAAGCTATATCAGCATCCCCCAAAGCATGGTAATTCCTGGCGAAAACTTGCAAAATTTGACTTCAGCTATATTTCATGACTTTCGGGAAGAGAATCTTTCTTCGCAGTACCTTACATCCCGCGCTATCCTTACACCGAAAAACTCTGACGTTGAGACAATCAATGATCTCCTTTTGGAACAGTTTCCAGGTGAGGCAACAGAGTATCTAAGCGCAGATAGCGTCTGTGATGAAAGTCAACAAATGCTGCATACCGTGGAGGTTCTCAATTCGATCAATCCTGGATGCCTTCCACCACACCGACTCCTACTAAAAATAGGTTGTCCTGTCATACTGCTGCGCAATCTCAATCCATCCAACGGTCTTTGCAACGGAACGAGGCTTATATGCCGCTCATTCCAACAGTTTGTGATCGAGGCAGAAATTGCAACCGGGAAACATGCAGGAAAATTGGTGTTTATACCTAGAATCAAGCTCAAGCCCACAGAAATGCAATCTCCTATTGAATTTCAACGACGCCAATTTCCAGTGCGATTAGCGTTTGCAATGACAATTAACAAAGCACAAGGTCAGACCTTGGATGCTGTTGGGCTATATTTGCCGGCGTCAGTATTTTCCCATGGACAGTTGTACGTTGCTTTCTCCAGAGTCAAAAAACCATCTGCACTAAAGGTAATGCTTAAAAAAGAAAGTTCATTTTTACAAACTTCAAATGAACATTTCACCAAAAATATAGTATACCCTGAAGTCTACCAATAAATATCCCCAATTGTGATCTTGAAGATCACGGGCTCCACCTGCGTCCTCTACCTCATACGTTAGAACTGGCACACCTTCATGCCATTCTAACCACACCCATGGTAGCATACCCTGAGTCTACCAATAAATATCCCCAATTGTGATCTTGAAGATCACGGGCTCCACCTAGTCTAATAATTAAAATCTTTGAAAAATTAGCGATTTTGTAAATCACATGATCTACACTAAGTTATCAAGACCTGTTAAACCTTTTTTTCATCTTTCAACCATGCCTCGCTGCCCACTTTCACGATAATAGGCGAAACAATCAGCAGCAAGATGCCGTTTGCGCCAGTTGTGGTTAAACAGAGCATCGTCGCCGTTCACATAAATTGTGAGTGGAGCTCTTTTTTGAAGAAAGGTGATTGACGATACGACGATCTGGTGTTTTGTAGCATCATTTAATTTGGGTTATCTGTCAGTTAGACTGTATATGCCCTTTCATTCTCTTCAGTAATCGAATGATACATGGAGCAGATATGCTTCGATCTGTGTAGCTCATCATTCATGCATCAGTGAGGTGACTATTGTTTCATCCATGGAAAATCACATATTTTTGTCCGAATTTTTTCTTCTTCTTTAGTTTTGCATCTCTTCTGTTTGCCTGGAAATCCCTCACTATCATTGCATCCATCATCCATCATCCAGACTATGGCGTGTATCTGATCCGGTCGATTCGATTATTATGAAAAAAGGTACCTTTTGTGTGATGTGACTATTCGTTTTTCGACAAGAAAAAACTCACGTTCTTTTTTCTCTACCCCTTCTTTAGCTTTTGGTTTTCTCTCCGGTTTTCTTTTCGCTTGGCAAGTCATCCATCCCTCCAAAACCTTTCTACTTTGTTCGGGCACCAGATTGTGGCCAATCCGGTTTTTGTCGTCAAAGGACATCTTCGGTCGTGTGGCTCTCTTTCTCATCGGGAAACGCTGACGCGTCCTCCCCAGGTTCCTCTCATATGGATTGCTGCCCGTGGTATCGCCTTCGATATTTCTTCCCGACCATTTTATTTTGTAGTTGTAGTATGTATTTTGTATTTTAGTGAATAGTCTTCTTGCAGTCTTTTCCTCCTTTTTTTTCCCACAGGGTTTTTAGGGGGTTTTTACAGACGTACCTATTGTATTTACTTTTTTTTTATATTTGTATCCTTTCTTTATTTCGGTCGGGAAGCCCTCGGTATCTGCTGCATCAAACATCAAAGGTAAAATATCTCAACGAAATTTGAATCAACCAAAGAGCTTACTAACTCATTTTTTTTAAATACCCAACATTCCCACACATCTTTGTAGATCTATCATAACCTTGGGCGGGACAGAACGGAGGGGGTCAATAAGTGCTGCTTTGTTCATTAAAAGTGTTTCATGGTATGCCAGAGTATTGACATTAATATACCAAAGTTCCATCAAGAGTCTCGCCCAGGTTATGCCGTATTGCGTTAGGCTTTTGTCTGACGAATGTCGCTCAATGTAAGAGTGCGGCATCCAGTAGCAGGTGGCATCCATTGCACAGCGGGTGTACGGCTTGTTAAATGTAAAGAAGAAAAAAATGATAATTTTTAAGGAATCACGGGGGCTACTAATCCCAGTACCTCTCTAGAAAAAGTGAAAAGCACTCTATCTTACAACGAAAGCGATGTATCTGACCCATTAGAGTTGACCGATAGGATCGTCCTTTCTTCGATCGTTCGAAGTCCAAAGATTAGTTAACGATATACATGACTGAAGAGACAAGCATGGGATGGTTCCCAGCTGTATTTACCCGTTCCACTTTGGCCTTAGTTTAGTTGGCGCGGCTGGGAAGGGTTTGAAAAGATAATCCTGTATTGTTGGGCTTGCTACCTTTGCAACAAATGGGGAAGCAAGATTTGAAACTACAAATTGGAAGTCAAATGTCATATCACAATGTCCCGCGGATCTCAGTTTATGTTGCTGCTGCATGGATCAATTTATGCTACAGTAACCATATACTGGTTTTAGTTTGTACCTAATCGCTGCTCATGGCTGCTTGGATGCATGAAACATTGCTGTCCGAAACCATTCTCCGTATGAAATCGGAAAGAGCTGCCGATCGCCAAACCCGTTAAAAAATCAAACGGATCTTCCCAATCAAGATGGGCCGCTCTACCAAAGTATGTCTTCCCATCGGCATTGAGCAAATAGAACTGCAAGTAAGCCTTGGTACGGCTTGGACCTTTTTGGTTGTGACGATTGTAATGTTTTCAATTACAATCGGCTCAAATATCCAAAAAAAATCCAAAGTATTGGAAAAATCGATCATTTATAGCATAGCTTCTGTTACGATGGATGGCAAAGCAAATATTTTGATAATGGATGGATCCGTGTACATTCCGGCATGATGTATGGTGAATTACAAAGAATGATCTTCAGGGTTTATATGCGAGCGATGGGTCCGAGGCATATGGGGTATAAGGCACATACCGAAACATTCACCACCGCATATAATTTCTGCACGCTCTGCTCAGCTGCTACACTGGCGAACTCATCCTTAGATCTTCCATATTGCTACCCATTCACTTACTGCCTGTATGGTATACTATTCTTCATTATTGCAGAAGCTGGTTAGCATATCTTTTGGATGGACACTTGCAAGGTTCACCGAGGTCTGAAGGAACGCAACAAATGCTCGGTTTTAGCCGAACGTTTATATACCCAATGGTCTCTTCCGGTTAGCGAATATGCCGCAAATAATATTTCAGTGACTTTATTCCCCACACTCCTGCAAATGACAGCTTTTTCTGCAGTCGAGTGTTCATGATACAGGTAAAGTACAAAAAAAGTAACATGACGACTTTTATAAATGCCAGCTCCTGCTGTATGCTATTTTCATATGATACGTATAGGTGAGCTTGGGTATCGCGCAGTAAGCATCGTGGTGATTGAAATTGCATAATCATCGTAATTAAGGCCAAGGCCGTGTTTCTGAGCGGCATCCCAAAAAGTAAAATGAGGAAGACAGAAAAGGAAAGAATGGATGACAATTTGGCAGTGGGCCTCTTTTTTGTATTTGCCACCACTTTATCAGACAAAAAACGCGTGCGTGTGATCCCCTATTTTATGGCTGGACAGGAATTTTATGCTGTGATTATTATTTGTATCATTGTTTTGGCTGCCATCGTATGCGGTCTCGGCATTCGCATCTATCGTCGAGCTACCGTGCCTGGCAATCCAACCTCGATCCAGCAAGAATGGCAACCCATGGACTCCATGTTCTCGCCAAGCGTACCTACGCCAGACACACATGAAATCAACGACAGAACAATAGGTACAAATGGAACTACCTTGCATTTACTGTGACGCGAGCTGATCTAATTCCTGGCTATTTGTTACTTGGCAGGGTGGCAACGAAAGCATCCTCCGAACACCACCACCTGGGTGGACGCCAGTCAAATCGCCTTGGTCGCTGAACGCGGAGTCGCAGCATGGACATTTGTAGAGGACGAATTCACAGAGGACGCGGAGGAAGAATGCAATGTTGCCGTGATTGATCGCACTACAATCGTCTTTGCTGACGGTCAAGGCTGCATTCTCACCAATCTTCCTATTCCTCTACAAGATTTCGTTTATTGGGAAGTCAAGATATTGCAACTCACTGACCAAGACCATTTGGCGATCGGCTTGGCAACCAAACCTTATCCAACGTGGTGTTTGCCAGGTAAACTGAAACGGTCGCTTAGAAATACAATCACCGCAAGTAGGCCGTTGATAGATTAATATTGGGATCCACAATGAGTAGGATGTTACCGGCATTCGGTCGCTTATCACTCCCACACAGGCGCAGTGCATGCCAGTAACCCAAAGACAGGTCGGCCGTATGGTCCTTGCATCCAGCAAGGTGATGTGGTTGGTGTTGGTTTTCTTTCGCAGTTTGCTTGCGTGTTTTTCACGCACAACGGACAGGTACGATCTAGGATTTTTGGCGCATTTAGCGAATGCGATGAAACTTTTAATGAGTTTCCTCATTCTTTTATATTTTTAGAATCTTGGCAAAGCATTGATTGGATTCAAGTTTCCTGTTTATCCAGCCATAGGGGCTCGAGGAACATGCCAAGTATCAGTCAATTTTGGCCAACAAGGTAATTAAGATTATTTGGAAAAAGAAAATCCAATCGTGTCTAACTTTGAGATCGCGTTATACCAAAATAGATTTCCTTTATGCGGCCGGTAAGTTGCCTATGTCAAGATGACTATCCCAGATCAAAAAGTATCTAATATTTTTTATTTTTGTGCGTTTAGCCAATCTACGCGAAGCTGCATTTGCACCCAGACAAGACGCACTGCCGCCACCTCCCGCCTACGGTGGCCACATTAGAGATACCATCCTTTTTGACGCATCCCAAGCATCACACGACACTCCTCAACTCACGTATTCGGAAGCGACTACCTCACCCTCTTCCGCTGCGATCGAATCATCCTCTCATCTTTCTTCTTCGCCACCTCGATACTCTTGAAAATACCTTTCATATTCCATGTGCATTGATATCTTTTTTTACCCTTGTTTTCATCCCCCGTGTTAGAGAGCCTATTTTATCATCATCTTATTATCATTTTTTCAAGTCTGCCTATCGACTAATACATTAATTTTACTATAGAGTCTAGAAATTTATGATGGTTCAAAAGTTGTAGTCGCAAAAGACGCCCCACAATGGCCATCCGTGCACAGAGACCGTAGAAGGAAAGTCATTTTCTGCTGCCATTTTTCACGATCTTTTTCCAAGAGGTAGACATCGTCACCAAGTAGGGTATACCATGTTTCCGTCAATGAGAGCTCAAGTTCCAGCTCAAGCTCCTTTTGAAACTGGGGTGGAATACCGTACATGAAATAGGTGAGATGGTCGATGCAACATTGCAGTAAGGAAGCCATCATCAGCAGTCGCGTCAAAAGAACGCACAGAGTGATACTTCGTGGTCGCATGCTCCGTATCTTCGCATCGACCCAATGATCCGAGTGTGGATCGCGATCCCACCACCAATCTCCACCTTGGTGTTTCTCATATTCTTTCAGTAGCATTTGGTCGGTCGTCGAAATATCCCACATGCAGTTACGCACCTTGTCCATGACCGTCCGTAACCGTGTTTTTTCAATGATTTCGTAGATCCATAAGCGTGTCACGGTAAGATCCTGGACAAACGCGGCCATCGTATCCACATCATCGGCGTGGATCGGAGGAGCAAATGGGATTTTGGACATGTTTTTTCCAAAGAATCGGGTTCGACCTTGCTGATCGTAATAACAGTGAGCGCGAATTAAAATACTGGATGGTGCTCGAGTTCAGTAGGCCGCAAAATAATCAGCCGATTGCCACGGACTGTCGGGCTTGATCGTGAAATAGATGCATTGGTTGGTGACACATTGGGAGGTGCGGTCGACAAAGAATCGCTGTCGCGGTTGAGTTCGACTGAAGTAGCCAAAATTGATGGGGTGGACGATTTTGACCGGAATCTGAAGGCCGCATTTGTTGTAATGGCACCAAGCTAGCGTACGGTCGTTTTTCGTCGGCTGAAGGGCTTGACGTGCTTCCTTCAGATAGTGATACAAAGCACAGGTTGTGGCCTTTTCACCCAAGGTCCGCTGATCGGTTTCCAGTTCTTCGGCTCCTTCTTTATCCACGAGGATCAATGAGTAGAAGGAGAAAAAAGAATCGCCCGCTTCTGGATCCTTGCGACAAAAGGGAGCGTACGCTTCTGCAGGCGAATTCTCCTTTTTTGTGAGACGACCCGAGTCACGGTTATGCCAAAACGCCACTTCTTTGCTCACGGATGTTTCTTTTCCCGTCCTTGCTGACGATTTGCCATTCCAGTAAAAGACGGGTCGTAACCAACGATCGCAGCAAGCCTGACCAAAAGTTCGAATAGCCCAGCTTGTTCGAACAACGAGTGCATAGACAGGGTTGGTATTGGGACCACGGTTCCAGATAAGCGGGATGTGGGTAGAAGCTACATCGGAAAGTCGTGATTCGCCATCGCAGAGACGCGGAAAGTGAGCTGTGGACTTCATCAGTTGATCGGAAACGGAAGTGGATGGATACAAAAAAGCAAACGAAGCGTGGGGTGACTCATGAATCCGATCGAGTGGATCCGTCGGTACAATCTTGGAGGCGATCGATGGGTCCTGGGTGTAAGGAATGAGACGATCAAATGCTTCATACGAGTGCAAGATGGCTTCCAACCCTATTCGACGCGATAAGTGACGCAAGAATAATGTTGCGTGCGTATTGGTGTGTCCTTGTCGTGGTATAAACGATCGTTTGCAGAGTAAAAAGATGAGCGAGTCGGTCTGCACTTTGCGCCACACTTTGTATGGCTCGAACTGGAAAACTTCCAAGAGTTTACAATGCTTCCAGATCCAAAGCCTAAACGATTTTTTTTTTTCGTCGTAGAAACAGCGCGAATCCATCAGTATGGTGGGTAAAATGTAAAGCATTCGCTATTGACAGGGTTACCTGAGATGTTCAGCAAATTCTAGTACCATCCATTGACTGGGCGTAATCAGACATAACTGACCATGGTGATCGTCGATCCGTTGAAGACAAATCCACATGAAATACAGGTAGGCTTGTGTGCCTCGTCCACCCAACACACGTTCATCGTACAAGGCGGCGTCAGGGACGGTGATAAAGCCTGTCTTGCGAATCATGTAGGGAGGATTGGTTACGATGTAATCGAACTTCAATTCGGTCGCGTCGCGTAAACGGTGGAGCTGATGCTGTTCCCAGGCATCCATATTTGGAAGTGTGGTATCGAGTTTCAAGGTATCGTTGCGAAAAAGACGTAATCGATCAATCATGCGCTGAGTAAGAGGTGTCTTGAGTTCAATGAGACGTCGGTAGAATGGAAAGAGATGGACCATGACGTTCAGTTTACCGAGATGATGAGCAAACGGATCGATTTCTACTGCCCAAACATGCTGGGGTATCACAGTGGTCAGTAAGCGTAGCAATACATCGGCATGATTCCAGATCACGCTGCAGCTTTCGACCTGTCGTGCAAGAAATTCGCACAGGAAGGAGCCGATGCCCATGCATGGATCAAAGACCCGTGGCACGTGACCAGCACTTGCACTTTGCATCAATTGCTGCTTATCGAGGCACCGATTCCACATGAATTGGACGACACTTTGCGGCGTATAAAACTGGCCATGGTCTTTTTGATGTTTCTGAGCGGCCAATTCCAGAAAATGATGGGTATAAAAGCGGGAAAAGATGGTGTCGACAAGCGTCAGCGACCGAAACTGAATCCCGGTTTTACGAATGCTGGTACGAATATCATGGAGGATGGATGTCTCCTTTCGTGCGTACAAGTAGTACCAGATAAACATATCGTCTTGGTGGTAAAACACATCGTCTTGCACGGAAAAGAGTTGCATGTAACCTTCAAATGTGTGGGCATGACCATCCATAAGATCTTGCAGCAGTATCTCGATAAAGAGGAGATAGATTGTCATAAAACTGGTCATGAGGCAGTACACGTCAATAATGCGTTCGAGTTGCTGGGGCGAAGATGGGTCGACATGAGGCGGTTCTTTTTCATCAGGACGTTGTAAAAGGGAATACAGCGCTTCGTTGGGGATGTGAGGTGCGCCTGGGAAAAATAAGGAGGGTTGGAATGAATCAACGACTGTCATTCAATAAGTGATGCAAATAAATCTGCACGCATTGTTTATGCGGGTATTCTATTGGTTTTTTTTCTTTCCACTTTTTTTCTTACCGTTTTCCTGCCTTTTCATCATCAACCGTTTCTTGACTTGCGGCTGGATATTGATGAGCGCCATTCCCAACGTATTGACGATCGTGTCTGCATTTGGCTTCTGTAAATGCAGATGGA